CCTCCTGCTTCAGCTTTTGAAGTCAAACATCTCAACCCCCTTTGAGGATTCTCACGTTGTTTTCACACCGTTAACAGTAACATCATGTATCCACTCAAAGCTCTTTTAGCCCGAAGTTGTGCACGATTTTTTATTCTATTTCTACTTATATAACTTGTTTGCCCCGAGAGCAAAGCAATTTCCTAGTGTGTGACTTCTTGTCACTCATAATGACAATAAAAGGATTCTGATTGAAATCACTTGAACGTTTTTTACAGGAAGTTTAAAATGTGATGGAATCTGAAAGGAGCACTAAACTGAAATATTGTTACACGTGGAATTCAAGTCTTTTATGACTAGTTATTTTGAATATAGGAAAAATAGGGGAAATATTTGTCTCATCACATAAATCAACATAAAATACATAAAATAATCCAACAAATCAAGATAAAATAATATACTAGTTAAAATGTATGTTCATATTTTGGCAGATGTCAAAGGTTTTTCTTCTTCCCATCTGTATGTGTGTTTCTGGATTACACATGATGATAGTGAGGATTTGGTTCCAATAAGAATCTTTGAAGATTTCCGGTCTCCCTCCAAACTTCCCCTCTGCCAAGTGGGCTCTGACGGCGCGTGTTGTCGGTGCTGAGTACCTGACAGATGGCCTTGTGGTGTTTTTGCAACCCCTGCCACCGCTTTCTGGCACCTGCCCCATCTACCACAGCTTGTGAGAGATTGAACTCATCCTTGGCAAACTGTTAACTGCTTAATCCAGCCATTATTTGTAATAGCTTTTTTAACGAGCCCAGAAATAGAGTTCATTTTAATCTAATTCTTATGTGTTGTATGGAAAATATGGAATGATTTCAATACAATTATAATACTACAAACAATCTGGGAAAATATGCAAGAATTTATGACATCTATAGTTGAGAGAGAAAAAGTCTTCCAATGTAAAATGTCCAGGAAGGTTCCTTTCACATTGCAAACATTTAAATCAACCTTATTGATATACCTGCCTTAAATTGTCTACAGTGCAACCTAACAGAGCTGCAGGCGCCCTGGCACGTCCAAACTTTACATTTTTGAATCAATGGGATTTTGTAATGCTTTTTTAAGGCTTTAAGGCTGTTTTGTTTTCTTCCTTTTAGAATGAAGATTAAGAGATGCTTCATTTAGTGCACAGTGGGGAAATTTTGTAGTACAGGTGAAATGAAGGCCCTTGGCTCTAGGTTGGACCGAGGTATTATTTGCAAACACTTCCCCTTGTAAATGCTGGTCCAATTCTATCGCATTGCACTACAGTCTTGCGTTCTACTCCAAAAACATGTGAGAACACAGTTAAATGGAATACTTACGCCCCTAGTTATTGATAACAATTCCTAGTAACAAATGTCCTGTAAAACAATGTCACTTCTGGAAGAAAATTAGAATAAATTGAAATTAGCAATTTATTCTAATTTACAAACAAGCTATACAAAATGATTTAAAAAGCAAATATCTTCATCATTCTACATGTGAATTTCCGTCAATAGAAATTCAATGCACATTTAATGAACAAGAATTGGTGCTCTCTTGTCTCTGTGTATTTATGTGTCTTTTGAATAGATCCAAGCCTGAAGTAGATCTATTGATCCGTCTTTCATCCAAGTCTATCTTTAGCATATTCCACTTTGCTTTTGTGCTTAATCTAACGTCACCGGTCGGTGTCGTATTCGCACGTGCAAGATAAAACTTGTAGGTCAAAGTTGGTCTATCCTGGCCCCTGGTTTACCCATAAGGCTTTTTCACTCAATAGCAGTGCAATCGATCGGGGGGAATGAGCTTGTTGTAGCACTGCAGCGTGATCACATTTCACCTTCAGACACTTTTTTTTACCTCTCAGCTCAATCTGCGACCTACATTATGTGTTCTACCTGGATCGTGTCTCAGCTCCATTATGCTGTATTGAGTCACTACATACTCTCATACACAGAGACACAAAGCATTTGCATAATCTGGTTTCCCCTGCAGTTATATGATGTCACAGTGGTGGTGTGTCACTTCCCAAGTAACATGAGGGAGACGTTATAGGAAGGAATAATTAAATCAGTTTTCCGATTTCCTGCTGGTGTGAATCTCACTCTTTTTATGAACTATTTCACAGTATGGCATTCAACGGGACTCTAAAGCATTTTTAAAACACCTCAAAAAAGATTCAGTTTCAGATTCAGATTGATTTATTCAGACATATTAAACATTCATTACAAGAAAATAGAAGATGTTTACAAATTATGTCTGAAATGGAATAGGCAGAAGTTAAATCTTAACTATCCCTATATTTACAAATTTGGGAAAATCCTCCTATATACCTTTAAATATTGCAATAATATTCAGTGACAGTACTGTGACTGTGAAACAAATGTGAATCGTACACTCGATGTATTGTACTTTTTGTATTATATTACTTGCTACCCCCCCAACCTAATGTTTGTGTTTGATAAATTAAGGGGTCAGAGGGGCCGATGGCACATACTGGTTGCTTCGCTTCTGTCCGTGTGCCCCAGGGCAACTGTGGCTACAGTAGCAGTTTATCACCACCGTGTTTGGAGTGAATGAATAATGACATGTGAAGCGTCTTTGAGTGTCCAAAAACAATGCATTATTATTTATTATTCATTTCAAAAAGTAAAACAAATATATAATAATATTGACTTCATGCCAAGAAGAAAAGCATGCGCTGTGTTGTTTTTTTCCCACCGCTGTCTGTGTGCCGTCTTCCAAATCACTCTCATTTACATAAAACAGAGCGGATAGACACTGATTGTGAAGATTTGTCTGTGCAGTATGACTAACAGGCCACATTTACCTTCTTTTTATTGTCGGCGCTGGGCAACACCGGTCTGCACCAATCAGCCTTCCTATTGTCGCTCAGTTCTCCACACAGTGATGCGTCTCTTTATTTTTGGTTTGTAGAACTCGCATGCATAACTGTATGCAACCAGTGCTGTAAAGTGTCATTTGACTGAATTAATATGTAACAAAATATGGAAGCAATTATAACAGAAACTGAATACTAATTTGTCCTCACTGCAGAGCACATAAAAGGCCGGATGAGGTCACCAACTTCAAACAGCAACATTAAAGCAACTAGTGTATTTTGTGTTGATATGTCCTAGATCTCAAACTTTTTACTCATCAGGCCAAACCTATTCATGAAATTAGCATAAACAGTGAGTTTGCAAGTACTTTTCATTCACATCAGCTAAATATATTGTGTTTTTCAGGCAAAAGACAAATTTTAACCTCCTAAAAACCTCCTTTTGTCCAAAAAACCTCAACAATATTTCCAAATCTCAGCAGCACTCTCCTTGTTGCAGTATCCAACCTGCTGGGAGAAATGCCTCCAAATTGGAACATTTCTTTGCCGCAAAGTAAAGAATCGATCACAGGCACAATAGTCAGAAATGCCCAAAGTCAGACTTGTGTTTTATGAAGGAAAGTTAGTGCTCAAACAGCTGCTTATCTCAGAGCTGGTTGGGCGGCGTTACCCCAGAAGGATGTCAAATTTGTATCTCAGAATCAATGTTTCAGGGTAAATAAACAAAAAACTTCTATCTCTGGAGGACAGTTTGCCAAATGTTGCAGCCTCGAGATTTACTCGAACTGTAAATTCGAAGATAATTCCAATTTAGAGCAGGAGCGGGGCTCGGTTCTACCATCTTGGATCATGTTTGTTGTTTACATGAATACAAAATAGTCAAGTGCAGCTCGAAAATGCCACTTTAGATACTCTCCATTCTTTTTCATTGAGGGACTCTTGACAGCCAGGGGTTTACCTGCCTAATGCCTTATCTGGGTAGATTTAGCCTCTCTGGAACTGCCAGTGAAAGACAGAGTCTGAATCTCAGTCAGTCTGACGGCTGACTTACAAAGTTTGAGAAAAATACATTTGACTTAATCCGGATTTATTGTCACTTTTAGTGTTTTCAAAAATCAAGGTAAAAGATAAAAGCCTGTTTTGATTCCTTTTTAATTCTTATCTTCACATAAACACATTTTGCCTCATAAGCCAACTGACAGAAGAGATGCACCCATTAGCAGCGAGGCAAAGCAAGGGGCACGGTCAAATTAGCAAAGTAGACATGTGCCTTTTGTGTGTTCATGATAAACATGACATGTCGTTATATTTGAATTATATTTAGCATGTCCCTGTCACTCATTGATGATATCTTGGTGTGCATACAGGACACGTGATTCTACAGGGGGGTCTCTTGTCTCGATGATGGGGAGACCTGAGAGTTGGTTCTGGAGTTCTATGTCTCAGGGAGGAAAAACACTCTGCCAAAGCCCAGATGCAGCATTGGGGGTTCCTTTTAAAACAATAAAATAAAATCTACTCTGTTTTGTTTCTTGGTTTATCCAGTAAAATAAACTGTATTATGTAAAAACATTGCTTACATTTTTACTGTACTGTAAGATCAATTTCTATTTTTATTAACAGCCAATGCAGCTTTTTGAATCTTAAATGGTTTACCTTCACTGTTGCGGAAGAATTTCACAAAACTAAATATTGTTTTTTTTTGTCAGATTTTCCCAACATTTTTTACAAGCGCACTACAAGGAATCACAAACATAACTGCAGAGAGAAACCAACTCTCTGCTTTACAAATGGTACTTTGACAGACACAGTAGGGGTTTCTGTTTTGGCAAATTGTCAGACAACTATTTTGTGTAATATTATGCTTCTCTGTCAGCCTATATAATTATCAGAAAATACTTTCTTTACAAACGGAACTGGATTGACTTTCCTTTGGTCTGCCATTTAATGTTTTCTTCACTTTTAATACAAAGTTAAATTAAATACGTTGACTAAATTGTTGTCTAGAAGATTGTAGTCCCTCCGTCCCTATAGAGTGTGTGCAGTGGTACTCTAGCTTCCCCTAGTGGTGAAATAGTGAAGGATTTACTCTACTGCGGATGTTTTGTTGATCCTTTATTCTTCTTTTATTTTTTTCAGAATATGCGAGGACCCAACAATGAGCTCCAACAGCACAGACCCTGGCCTCTTCTTTACCGCCATCACAATAACACCTGCTGCAGGAGCCTACCCACAATCCAATGCTCTCTACCAAGGACAAACTGGAGGAAGCTCAGGAGCTGCTTATCCCATGAGCAGCCTGGATGATAACTCCTCTTCGGCCAACAGAGTGTGTAATAATACCACATCTTTTCCCAATGTGAGCACAAACATCATTTTGGACCCTCTGGGGGGTCACCAGTTGTGGCAAGTGGTTTTAATTGTCTTGGTGACAGGAATGCTTTCTCTTGTCACCGTAATTGGCAACATCCTAGTTGTGGTGTCATTCAAGGTCAACCGCCAGCTAAAGACTGTCAATAACTACTTCCTGTTGAGTTTGGCTGTCGCTGACCTCGTCATCGGGGTCATATCCATGAACGTCTATACAGCCTTCTTGGTTATGGGCTACTGGGCCATGGGAAACTGGGCCTGTGATTTATGGCTTGCTATAGACTATGTGGCCAGCAACGCCTCAGTAATGAACTTACTGGTTATCAGCTTTGACCGCTACTTCTCCATCACCAGACCACTCACTTACCGGGCCAAACGAACCACTAAAAGGGCAGGGATTATGATCGGATTAGCCTGGTTTGTGTCTCTGGTGCTCTGGGCACCAGCGATTCTGCTTTGGCAGTTTTTTGAAGGAGAAAGGACAGTACCCTCACATGAATGCTACATTCAGTTTTTATCTGAGCCCACAATAACCTTCTGCACAGCCATGGCAGCCTTCTACCTTCCTGTGACAATTATGAGCGTTTTGTACTGGCGGATCTACAAGGAGACTCAGAACCGCTCTAAAGAGTTGGCTGGTTTGCAAGGCTCTGTTGGACGCGGTGTCATTGGACCAAAAAGTGGAAATGGTACAGGCGAAAAGGCCCATTTTGTCCATCAGACTGGAAGTGGGCGAAGTTGTGGCAGCTATGAGCTAACCAGATTGTCCCGGAGGAAAAGTACATGCAGGGAACTAGTCGGCCGCCTCCACTGTTGGCCTGGAGTTCGATCCTGGAAGCCCGGTAGTATCAGACATGGAGAAGGGGACCCAGACCAGAGCAGTAGTGACAGCTGGAACAACAATGATGCAGCTTTGTCTATGGACCAGTCTGGTTCCTCAGAGGAGGAGGACTGTGGAGGAAAGGAGATGCTGTCCCAGAGTCACACCATTTTCTCAATTGTGCTTAGTCTTCCAGGGATTAAAGCTGCCGTCAACTCCCAGCTCACATCATGTGAAGATTTAGATGCAGTGTCAGAAGAGGATCCATTAAGGGGTGCAGAATACAGTCAAGACAGTCTTACAAGGGGAACAACAAACACCACAATTTCAACCACTGATGGGGCTAACAGCACAGACAACAGCTACCACCAACACTTCTGCTCCAGAAAGATCCAGTCAATGCCAAGCATTCAGGCTAATGTCAACACAAGCTTGTTAGACGGTCAAGCAACCACTGCCAGTCTCTCTTCTGCCACCAGCATGACCACCAAATCTCCCTCTGTTCCAATTTCATTTAAAGAGGCAGCTCTGGCGAAGCGTTTTGCAGCTCGAGCTCGGACCCAGATAACCAAGAGGAAGCGCATGTCGCTGGTCAAGGAGAAAAAGGCGGCTCAGACTCTAAGTGCCATCCTCTTTGCGTTCATCATCACATGGACACCTTACAACATCATGGTGCTCATCAATGCCTTTTGTAAGGGCTGCATCCCTGGTGTGCTGTGGGCAGTGGGCTACTGGCTATGCTATGTCAACAGCACAGTCAACCCCATGTGCTATGCCCTCTGCAACAAAACATTTCGTACCACCTTCAAGATGATCCTCCTGTGCCAGTGGGACCAGAAGAAGAGGAGAAAGCAACAGTACGAGCAGAGACAGTCTGTAGTCTTCCACCGAAGGATTCCCCGGGAGTCCACGTAAAAGACTTACTCTAAAATGAAAGAGCAAATAAGTTTCCCACAGGACAGGCAAACCTGATAAACACAGTCATGTTGTTTCTGTGGAGATAGTTGCTTACGAATCCTTGCTGTGATTCCAGTTGAACACAGTGCACTGATGTTAAAGAAACATGTGGTGTCCCTGCCATGTTTGTGATGGTACATGTGTGCCTATAATGTGTTTGCTTAAAGTCATGTGAAGGTGAAGTCTGTCCTTCAAGAATCATTTCATGCAAGAAAGACCTGAACAGAGCATTCAAGAAAAGGGCTAACATGTGCTGCGAGAGACAACTTAACACGGAAAGTGCATTGATTATTTCAAGTGCAATGATTGAAATGGATGTATGATATTTACATTTTCTTCCATGTTATGTGGGTAGCTAGATTTGTAAGGAGCGACGTTTTTTGCAAACTAAAACAAAACAATGTTCTTGTGAATCATAACTCAAAAGCCAATATCAGAAGAGTGTCTGCTGAGCAGCGGCATAACGTTTCTATCAGAACTGTGTACATTGCCTTTCTACATGGTTATAGCTTTCCTGTGTATGACGATGGATTTAAAGTTATTAATATGTGTCCTTACTGCAGTCAATACAAAGCTGTATTTTTGTGATATTGGTATTTATGATATTTTGAGCCAGAAAAGAGCTGCGTTGTGGCTTTGTGTGTGACACCACATCAGTGAACTGCTGTTGTGTTCCATGTGATTGTTGTGTTTTTTATGGTGGACACTAAAGTACTTGGGTTGTGTTTTATGTGTTTCAGAACTTTCTGTGAAGAGTATTCTCTAATGATCCTAAAAAAATATTATGTTTGTATATATTTGAATATTTTTTTCATCACATATGATTGCACACGTAAATACATCAGTATACTACATTTTTGCATTTTCAAAGCTGCACTGTAAAACCGATGCCATTTCTCCTTTAGTTTTATAGAACAGTAACGCCCTCTATCGGTCACTCAAAGGCATGACATCTTTTTTTTTCCCCCAGGCACATAGAAAACACTTTTTGTTTTCAGATTAATACGTTACTTTCATTGCTCATATTATAAAAAAAAATATATAACAAAAATTGTAAAGCCCGTTTTTTGAACCGCTATACATCAGATATTTTCTGAACCTATATTAACTCTCATATTTAATGAGAGAGATAGAGATAGAAGAGATAGATACATGAGTGATGATTCTATATATTGGAGAGGGACTAGGCTTTAGAATGCTATGTGGTTATAAATGAGATGATGGCTTAAATGCTGTGTGGAAATATGTTTTTTTAAAATGTTCATTCATTTCACTGTGCTCTAGTGTGATAATGCATTTGTTATTAAATAAGTTTATAATATTGAGAATGTGCACCATTTTGATGTTGCCACACATATTTTGTTACATTTTAAGTATGCCAAATCAACTCATATTTGTATTTTAAGTCATTAAAATACTTTATTGACACTATTGTTGTCTGACTTGTCTCATCCTGTTTTATTTTGACATATTCACCACAAATACTGCAATATGCACATGTTTGTGAATTAGAATTACACATACTGTTAACTTGTCCACATTTCGAAGCCAGTGCCATCCGAAAGTGAATCTAAGATGAATAAATGTAACTTGTGTGATCAAAGGAAGAAGCTAAGAATGGATAAGCACTTACTTAAGATTCAGAAAACGTTATTGATCCCAAAGGGCAATTAATTCTACTTCCACTTACAGTACTTTACACAGAAGTAAAACAGAACTCTGACATGCTGCAATGTCCTAACATATGATGTGTCTAATTTTGGAGGTAGACAATAAAACAGTAATGTTATTGTATTGTTTGTGATGCTTCCCTCTTTATACTGTAAAATGTATAATAGAGTTTGTCAAGACCAACCCGCTCCTTTGGCCTGAGCTCCAGTCAAACAGAGAGCAGTTCTTCCCATGATGCAGTTAGAGCTGTGTTTCAGACAGTGCTAATGGAGATGACTAAGGAAAAGACATGTGATGAGGAAAATACCATCTTCATGTGACCCATGGCTAAGGAGCGGCTCTCTGCTGCAGACAAACCAGAGCCTGTCGAACATCCAGTCTGTAATGAACCACTGAGGAGAATCCTCCCAACAGGCAAGTACCCTCTTCACTCTTCTCCATTTCATAGCAATTATAACATGGCATTTCTGTATTCTTTTTAGCTAGCACTTGTCCGCATGTGTGATTGGTTTGCCTTAATTATCCTCTAAAGAGTAAAGTTACTTACAACTTGAAGTCAAACTTTTGATGTGAGTAACAGATTTAGGATCAAATGTACAATAGTTCCAGGTGAATGAGTGTATTTAGTACAAAGCTTACAATCCAGAGAGGTGTGTTCATTAACCCTTTAATGTTCACTCCAAGATAAGATGTAAGAGCACTAATAACACATATACAGTAATTTGTTTTAACCCTCTACTTTTTTTTAGCAATAGTCCTTTACCATCAAGCTGAGTTGCAGCTTGATGGTAAAAGTGCCTAAAACCAAGTTATAGAGATGCCCCATTGAAGTAGATTTCAGTTACAAGCTTCAAGTAGATTTAGTGACTCAAAAATGTATCCACCAAATGGTTGAAGAAACTCCACTGTCTCAACCAAAAATGAATTTCCGAAGAAAAGGCTCAATAATTCCTTTGGCTTGAAGTGGGGAGAGATCCCTGTTATTTATTGAACACTATTATTTCAAACAAAATGTTACTGAAGAGCAAAAAAAAAAGAACAACTTTATGAAGTAACAAGAAAATGTGACTATATTCTATCGAAGTATTTCAGTCTTAGAGGTTAAATGTTTGTTTTTTATTTTAGTTGTTTGTGACTGACAATTACTGTGTCAATTACTGTCTTGCTCTTGTAAGTACTTAATCACAAGTATGCAGTGTACTGCTGATGTTACATAACAGCAAGATGAAACTCGTGTGTAAAGGAATTTTGATGCTATAAGTTATCAAACGTCAGAACTAAATGGTTTGTTTTGCCAATGATTGAATCACGAGAAATGTTTGTCTACAGTATAACCTTTGAAGTGTAGATGAACTGTATACATCTTTTTTTTTCCTGAAAATTTGAATGGCTTTCTTTCCCCTAGATAAAAAAATGCAGACAATCAAGACAGTGGAGACACAAGTGCCATTCCTCAAAGAGAGTCTGTTCACATCCACGTTTAAAGGGCGACGTAAGAGCAGTGTGACCAACATCCTCCGGAGACAGCAGCACACGCTCCAGCTGCAACAACAACAATGCATCTTAGAACATCAACAAATCATCTCCCCTCCAGAGCACACCGACCATCAGTGCCTAACCCGCTCCAACAGCAGCCCGTTATGCAAGGGAGAGGAGGGGCCAAAACAAGCCCACGAGAGAGTGAGTAAGCAGGGCAGGGGGGCGAACGGCAGTGCCAACACTAGTCTCCTCCCACTCCCCATAACATTGCCAGCATCAGCATCACATCTGACAGAGTTGGCTCGGCAGCAGGGATTAAGCAGCGCGGAGAAATCGGACAGAAAGAATAGCCGGGGAGAAGCAGCCCAGGAGGACGATCAGCATGCCCGAGCACAGCAGCACAGCCTGTTAGCAAAGGGCGTCCGCCTGTTCAGAAACATGGGCAATCAAGAGGCAAAACAGAAGAAGTCGAGCGGAGCAGCGGCAGGGGATGCCCAGTGTGACGGGGAAGCCGATGATAGAGATGTGGACAAGAAAACCAAAAAGTCACACAGTAAGGCGGAGAGCAAGAAGAAAGGGAAGTCTGATTCAAAGAGCTCTGTGTTTTCCAACATGAAGATCAAGAAGGCAAAGACTAAAGCATCTTCTAAAGAAGATGTCTTGGAAGAACAGAAACAGAGGGAGATGTGTCAATCTGTGGATGATATAGGCACGGTGTCAGATTATGAAGGAGAACCTTACATTACACACGGAGAGAACGGAAACAAAACAGGTTCAGGATCAGACGTTGACCTCTATAGTTATCACTCAGCAGCGGCAGACAGCGAAGATCTATTAAAAGACATCCAAATGACCATTAGACAGCAGTGTGTGGAAACTGAGCAGTTGTTAGAGTCGATGGTCAATCAGTACTCGGAAAGATCAACCTCAAATGTAGCAAAGACACAAAATGCAAATCAGGATGTACCAATGTCTAGGGATTCGTCTGGTGAAAGTGGACAATCAGCAGAGCAAAGCAATGGTAGCACTTTACCCAAAACCAATAGCACTTACAGTTTTCCAGACACAACGGGCACCACAACATCCTATGAGAGTGCGGAGGAGCCCCAGGATGAGCTGGAGAGCCCTGTTCGGAAGCCCAGTTTGCAGAAGAAAATGGGTGTTCCAAACATTTACCTAGAGTCTGGTGTTGTACCAGGTGCAGGATCGCTCTGTGGCCAGAAAAGTGTAAGCAGCTCAGATCTGTCAATGGAAAGAGACGAGGAGGAAATTACAAAACAAAACTTCTTGTCGCTCAAAAGGAGGAAGAATAGCATGTCCTCCAATCAGCTAAACATAGATTCACAGCCGAGAAGAAGAAGCTCTACAGTCAAACTCTACCCCCCTGTTCACCCCTCCTATGTGAAAACCACCACAAGACAGCTCACCTCCCCAATTGGTTCACCTGTAACCAGCCCAAACATCCCCAGGAAGGAACCCACAGCTCAGGAGTCAAGCACACGGGAGCCAGGGTTACAAAAACGCAAGCAGAGGTCTTCTTCAGTAGCTGGACCCTTTAGTGCTTCAGAATGGAAAGCAGACCTAGATGAGATGGGAATCAAGCCTCACAGTAGCAAGGCAAAGGCAGATGTACAGGAGACACAAGACAAGGTGTTCACTGCAGGAACGTACTGGACACTGGGGTCGAGGAGAGCACAGTATGTCCGGCAGGCTTCCAACACCCCAACGCCATATCTGGATGTCTTCTCAGGTAAGCCTACAGTTTGGATTCAAGCATGAGTGAATACTAGGTTTTTAAAATGTAGTTTAAGCTTTGGTAGATACAACCACATCTCATATAATATTTGTATGTAAATATTATTTACACCATACAAAATCAAACCTATGAAGGTAAATATTATAAAATAATGTATTTAATGTATATTTCCCTAGAATTTTATTGTTATGGTGATACACTTATGCGTATGAAGGAGAAGGAAGTCATCAGATTAGTTGAATGCCACTGAAAAGAAGCTTTGAGGCATTGCGTCTGTAGCTACTTATATCATAACATAGGCTAATCTATTATTTTGTTCAATATCAGATAAGCCAAATACCATGAGGTACATTCCAAGCAAAGGATCATTTGTATGATAGGTCCAATAGATCCATGGATAGGCCTGATACACCTTAAAATTCTTGCCCTTAACCTAGTGTAACCATTATTTAAAAATATCCTAATTATGGATAATGGTCTTTAGAATAAAGCTTTTCCATTTTGTTCTAGGATTAGTTATGAAAGCTAAGATAACACATAATAACAAACCCAAGCTAGCAGCAAACAAGGATACCTCTTCATCGGCTTGGTGGTGTCCAGTGTTGGGCACGTTACTTTGAAAAAGTAATTAGTTATAGTTACTAGTTACTTCTCCCAAAAAGTAACTGAGTTACTAACGGAGTTACTCCACTATAAAAGTAACTAGTTACCAGTAAAAGTAACTATTGCGTTACTTTTTCGTTTTGTTCTGGAACATAATGTGCACCCGACGTGCGCATTTTTACCTTTAACAGTGCCAATATTTCCATCTAGAAAAGGCTGTTTTGCTGCTGAAGTCCTGTTCACTCTTCATCTCTCTCTGTGCTGTAAAGCCCGCCACTGTGAATGTGGAAACACCGGTGACGCACTGACTTCAGTCCAATCAGATGAACATATACATCATATAAATCAAGTGGACAATTTGTTTGGCTACAGCAAAATATGTTTTATGCCCGCATTGTTTGTTCATACAAAACGCAAAACTATGAGTTATGGGTCTTACCTTATAGCTATACCTTATAAATGACTTGCACAGTCCACTTCGGTTCAGACCAGTTCCTTGTTTAAATCCAGTGAATGGTTTGAGCGTAGATATGTAATCCTCCATTTGGAAATGAGTCCAATGAGTTTTAAAAAGTAAAACAAAACGCGTGTGTCCTCCGTAAACTCCTCTGTTTTGCTGCAGCCGGCTGCATCCAATTTCTAAAACCAACCGTCTTACACTTCACCTCTCTTTCTTATCATTCCTATAGTAATTCAAAAATTACCCTATGTGCATTTTAGATTATGTAAAAATGTGTTATATGTATGTTAGCCAAACCTGTTGCTGTCCTTAGCAGATAAACCAGGAAGAGCAAGGAGCTTATCGATGGAATTGTATGCAGCCGACTTCTGCGCTCACATGCACTCCTCAGAGGCTGGCCTCACGGTGATACAAGCCGTGGTAGAGTGTGATTAAGACCCATATTTGTTTCAAAAACACAATTTATGAGCAATCGTCTCAACTGTAGACATGTAGATTGTAAAGGAAATATGTTTTACATCAGCCAATAATTGCTGAGAGGTTTTCTGATCCTCTCTTCTCTCATGACAACACGTTCATTGTGCGTCTTGAGTAACGCGCAGTAACGGGATGTCGGAAATGATAACGGCGTTATAGTTACTGTCAAAGTAATTAGTTAGATTACTCGTTACTGAAAAAAGTAACGCCGTTATTCCCATCACTGGTGGTGTCTGACTTGACATGAAGGTATTCTTGTCATTATTTACACATGTAGGACAACTTTAGCATTAGCATATCTACATGCAAACACGTGCAGCCTACAACTTTAGCATTAGCATATCTACATGCAAACACGTGCAGCCTACAATATTAGCATTAGCATATCAATAATTAGGCTACGATGCTAGCAATAGCATATTAACAATTAGGCTTTTCACATCCACATATCATATAACAAGTGAAAACATTCTCACAATTTCCAATGTTTTGATAGTTTAAGGAGCTCATGGTAGAGCCACTGCTAAGGTGGCTTGAGAATCTATTTAGGAGACCATCTGGATGCCATTCGGGCAATAAGGCCCAAGGGAAGACCCAGGACAGAACCTCCATAGGTCTACTGTACAAAAAAATAAAATAATAATTAAAAAAAATAACCACACAAGCAATAAAAAACCTTCCACAAATGTAACAGTGGATTACCATGTACTATTATTAGGTAATGTGTTATAACCTTTAAAAAATCTGCAACATGGACCACAAAAACTCATCTGGGTCGACCGCTGATTACCCACAACATGCCTGCTGTGCACTCATTCATCTGTTGGAGTTTTGTACTGTATTTAAGATTGGGTCATTATGCAGTGAGATAATGTTTGATGATTAGTGTAACTGCTGCTTGATTGAGCTCATAATGAACACACATTGTCACACTGTAAATGATCTCAGCAGGGTTGGAGGATGTGAGGAAAGTACAATGGCTTCTGAAAAGACATGATGCCTCAGTGGATCACAGCAGAGGAACAAAAACCTCCCATGCTCCACCCTGTCTCTGTGTGGTCATGACTGCGAGGGCTCAGCTGTTCTCCGCTGTCTGAACGTCAGCTCAGAAAACAGAATGAGAATGACAAGTGAAGCTTTGGCCTCAGTCCTGACTCCATAGTTTATATCTAACAATTAAGATTCAGATTCATTTGCTGTAAAACCACATTGGGATATATTTGAAAAAGTCCCCAGAGTGCGCAAGACATGCACAAGGTTAAAATAACAGGAATAAAACAAACTAAAAAAGTGCAGGAAGCAATCGACACTGTGAAATCTAACTGTAAAATTAAACCCTTTTCAATACAAGGGCAACATTATTAAAGTGATAAATAACCTGATAGTGATATCTTCTGCCAGAGGGAAGAAGCTGGAACATGGCTTATTACATTGTTTAATCTTTAATTTAGACACATAAAGAGTCCATACAACACAACAACAGACAACAAATAAATACAATAACAGACAAAAAACACACAAATATACAATATTTACAAAATTCTGTAAAGACAGTTTCTCCAATGCCTCCAGAGTTCAGAAGAGTCCCTAATTCATAATTCCTAATCACACTGGAAGAGTCCTCAGAGCTGTTCGTGAACTTATAGATAAAGTTTCTGATCACAGCATTCAGAGCAGTGATTATTTTTAGAGCTCGGTTTGAGATTGTGGATTCATGAAGAACCTCCAGAACAGGCAGCTCACAGCTCACAGTCCTCTTTGCAGACTGGAGCACCTTCAAACTTACATCCTGGGGACCAGATTTTTGCCCTCAACTCATAAACAAGGCAGACCCCATGAGTTGATTGTGCAGTTTTTGTAATCCAATACTATATTTTGTGTGTAGTCCCCACACTGTGATAACCTCGCAGTCTCCCCTGTGTGTTGTGCTAGATGCTAAATCCTCATGGCAGCTTATCTTCTTGATGCAAATGAATGATGATGTGAAATCCATTCATATTTTGTCTGGTTGACCTTTGGGAGACCAGGGATTTCATGATGCATCAAGTTGATTATCACAGGCTTTAATTTAGATTAGCATCAAGTGGACGTGCTGGACTATTGAGCGCACCTGTATATAAACAGCACCAGCTAAATATGTATTTTTCTCACATATAGGCCACACTTGAATCAAAGCCATAGGTTTTCATGTAATTCAACACAAAACAAAGCCAAAGGACAACATGATTTAATGAAGAGGTAAACCAAATATATTTGGATAACAAAAATATGTGCTTCCCATCCCTACTAAATCTTGATGAAATCTAAATAATGTAAAAAGTTTAAGTTAAAACAAATAAAAACAAGGGATGTCCTAACAAAATAAAAATGTATATATTGGCTGCAATGCCATATAGGCCACAGGGTGCAAATAACTTGAAAAAAGAAGCTGCTTTAAGTCATTCTAAAAAAAAAAAAAAATGCTGCTCAATTTATTAAATCAGAATATTACATAATCCTTCAAGGTTTAATGGAAAGAAGAGAACATATCAACACCAAGATCCAGTATTTTGTTTGTGAAAAGTGTGTTTATAGGATTCATCTTTGTGCTTGTGGTTACTTTGTGTATCTACTCATTTTTTACATTATGAAGGTATTTCAGTATTTTTTTTTAGGTTGTTTTTCTTTTAAAACATTGAGTCCAGTTATGGTTTGGATTGAAGCAGAATTGAACCAAAGGTAAAGATGGCTGGGTACTGTAGAGTTTAAGATTAACCACTTTATTGAAAAAAATATTCAAATAACATAAAATACCGATCTCATATAACGAGTAGAATAGAAGTAATAGTGAATACATCAAAAAGAAAATACCACACTTTATTTTTTTCACTGCTGTAACTGTGACACAGTCTTAATCAACACCTTTCCACCTGACAGTTCATATGTACGCAGTGTAAATGAGGCTGCGGTGTTTGATTATCACATCCCAAACACGTTTATATTAAGAGCTCAGATCGGATGCTGCGTGATAAGCTGTCGTTGTTTCTTACTTTCATAATGTGCGCTTTTCCCCTTTTAGGTCAGACCTTGCTGGAGAGAGTGAGTTTGCAACAAGGAGAGAGCTGCACGGACAAAGAAGCAAAGGATCTGTGTCAGAAAATGCTGTCTCTGGGTTTACTCCACCCCTTCAGCGACAGCAACAAAGAGGTCAACCATGGGCCCACATCTCCAACATCGCCTGATTTCTTCGTAAGATTTGTTTCCACATTTCAGTGGTTTGTAGGCTGGACGAGGTTTTAAAAAATTCACTTTCAGCCTCACTGCACAAAAATCTGAAATGTAGGCGGACGGCTCTGAAAGATTCATGTGGCCTTCCCTGGCCTGTTAAGCATGCGTTAGAGTTAGGACGTGGTCTGTACATGTACGTTTGTGAGACATATTTACAGCATACACCATATAAAACAAGACACACTACAAGTATACTGTATAAATGAGTCAAAACTAACAGATATGAATGAAAATACAGCTTGTTTTAGGTGTGTTCACTGTTGAAAAATATATACTATTTTCTTATAAGCAAGTTATCTTAAAGGGACAGTATGTAGTACACCCTCATATACTCATTACTGGTCTAATAAAGTCATTGCGATGTTTACTCTATCACAAAATGACTACTATTTTTGTACTGTTTCGGCTTTTGTTTGAAATTTTTGTTTGTGTTTTTTTTATAATGTGATTTTTTTTTTATTTAAGCTTCTCGTTCTGCTCTCTGATTGGATGATCTGCTTGAAAAATGTAAACAAACATTTTATGGACATCATGTTCATCATGTGTTTTGAATTAAGAATAACTCCACTTAAAACCTTTATTCAGATATGACCAAATATTCAATTAATTCAATGTATTCTTGTATAGCCCTAAATCGCAACAGTAGTTTTCTTGAATTCGCCAACACAGATCAGAGAATCAAACAGTTGAAACCAAAGAAATAAAACAGAAAACACATTGGTATTGGTTCATAAGGGGCAGATGAGCAATGTCCATAAGTGTTGATAGATATAATTTTTTGCATCTGACCTGTTATCTGGGGACACATAAAAGATGCAATTCAAAATGGAAATATTACTCATGGTTCCTTTAAGTTCAGAGCAGATAAATATTCAATGAAGTTCTACTGTCATTGAGCATAGTCTTTTTAAGATTCAAGATTCAAGATTAATTTATTATGTCCCGTAGGAAATTTGTCTTGGACTCACAGGCTGCTTCATTGAAAATACACATAAGACAGAGATAAAACACAACACAGTGACACAGACATCACCGCTCTGCTGGATGGCCTGCATTCAGGAAGTTCACAGATATGGGTAGGAACGAGTTCTTATACCGGTTTAGATATCTTTTCTTATTTCTAGTTGGACTAATGTATATTTTGCATCATATTGATTCCATTCTGCACAGCTTTTGCCACACTGTTTTTGTATTAAACCATAACATTAAAAGCTCCTACATTGGTATCTGATTATAGCACCAACCCTAGCATCAAGTGACCATTGGCTGTATACAATTATATAGAATACATTTTGTGGTGATAATGTCGAGGTCATTCACAGCCGCAACCAATGTGACATACAGTAAATGCACTCAGAGTCTATAGATTGTATTCTGAAGCCATTTATTGCCTGAATGCCTTAATGGTATCTCCTCCAACATTTTGTCCCACACAAAAGCACATACACACACACAGCGATTGCGTAGACCATCTGCTGACAGAGTTATGTAACGGCTCCACGTGCCTTGTGCTCCGGCTGCTTAGAGCTCTCTCTGACTGGATTGGACACAGAATCACAGAGGCTTTTTCTGCCCTTTCTACGGCTGGGCGAGACCTGGAGGGATGTTACTCATCCTGACCAGAGATGACATCGGTAGTAGCCGCTAAAGTCTACACCAAAATGCTCCTGTGTCGACTTTATCCCTTGAAATTAGAGCAGATCATTAGACCCTCTGCAAAAATATGTAATATTTCACTCCTTATTCACTCACATTTTATGATCCAATAGAATGATGTTTTGATCATTTTGGGAATAGCTCTGGATTCCCCTCTTTTCCCCGTACAGCATATTGTTTTATATTGAACTATGCTGAAGATTAGATGTATTATGGAGTTATTCTATCATTTGGAAAGGTCCTAAAAGATGCTCTGATTAAAATGACACTTGAAGGTGAACGTGTATAACACTAGATGGCAGTATTGTGCCGAACAGAGTTAGGACTATTATTACTGGGAAAACAGACCATCCACAGGATCAGACATTATTGTTTTAGAGTTGAGTGAAATAACGGTAGAACAAAAATATTTTGCTAAGATATTGTAAATAATATTTGTGTTTGCAGGAGGAGCAGCTGTACACCTGGGCCTCTCTGGGCCTGCCTGTGTCCTCTCACATCTGGGAGCTGTATGGAGGAAAAAGCACTGGCAGAGTCACCAACTCCCGCCGCCCTCAGTCATCAGCACTGCACTCTCCGGTGAGAGCCCTGTCTACTTAATATACATGATTTACAACGGTAAAGTGAAGTTATCTTGCACCCAAAGGGAGATGATAATTAATTCAGTAAATTGCTTTTATTGTATACTGAAACATACTATTCCGTAAATAAGTTTGTGTAAGCTCTCAGTCATAAACAGATTAGTCAAAGCAAAGGAAGGTTTCTCACCATCATCTGTACTTCTTAGCAGGTTTTCCCAACGTTTCGTCCTTAAACGTCGGGAAAACCTGCTAAGAAATACAGATGATGAATGAGAAACCTTCCTTTGTGATTCCGTAAATATTAAGTGATCCTTCAATTGCTCATTTCTTCTGATATTTCCTCATTCTTGCACATGATCACAAACATACAAAGTATGCAAACTGTAAAGTGTATTTAGCCCAGCAGAGGGCAGAGTTGTCTTGACTTTCTGTTTAATAATGGAACCGTTTACATTCTCAAGCATATGAAACTAAGTAGGGAAGCCATAGAGAAAGCAAGATTCATGTGAAGATGACATGTGAATGTATGTTTACAGAACCTCCCCGTGTGAGGCCCAGCCAGACTCAGTGTCTCAGGGTCAAAGCTCTCCGTATCCCCTCATCCTGATGTAACCAGACTGGAGCCTGTGCTCTGACGAGTCTAGACACAATGCACTGTGTTCACCCGACTTTAAATCTTTGGCCTTTCCCTCAGCTCTTTTCTCTTTGTACAATGTGCAGAGCAATAATGTGGCAGTGACGCACTTGCTGCTCTAATGACTTCTCTTCATGTACTTTTGAAGTGTTGGATGACATTTAGACACACATTTGTAGAGATGATTGAATAATAGACTGATAAATGGATTCCTAAATTCATCTTATTTTTCTGATAGACAGCATCCAGCAGGTTGAAATCAGGACAGTCTTCCTCGGAGGATGAAGGACTCCTGGTTCCTCAAATGAAGCGCACCATCAGTGACCTGCAGATTAAGATTGATGCGCTGCAGGGCCAGCAGACAGATCATTCTGTTGACTCTTCAGGCACCGGCTCTCTGCACAAGGCCTCACTAGTGACTGGGAGAGCGGCAGGGAAGAGCCAGGATGTGTGTGTGCAGACCTCACCCACCAAAGAGCGACCCAGGACTGACAGTGTGCCCATGAGCCAAGCACCAGCCTCCAGCTCTGCAGACTGCCCCATGTGTAGTGTCTGTAAGAGGCAACAAAGTGTTAAAGGCCCACCTCCTCCACCAGCAGCAGGCTCTCTGTGTATGCCTCCACCTCCTCCACCTCTGCCTCCTGGCATGGGACCACCACCACCACCACCCCCTCCACCTCCACCTCCTCTTCCTGGCATGGCACCACCCCCTCCACCTCCTCTTCCTGGCATGGCACCACCTCCGCCACCACCTCCTCTTCCTGGTATGGCACCACCGCCGCCACCACCTCCTCCTCCTGGTATGGGACCACCACCGCCACCACCTCCTCCTGGTATGGGACCCCCTCCACCCCCGCCTCCACCTGGCATGGGACCCCCACCGTTATTTCCAGGTTTTGGGCCTCCGCCACCACCAGGAGCCATGCCCTCAATGGTTCTCCAGGAAGCTGCTTCTGCCAAAGCCATAATTGAGCCCCCGAAGCCCATGAAGCCGCTGTACTGGACACGCATTCAGCTTCACGCCAAAAAGTAAGGGCCGATAGACACGCACCATTTGTACACAGGTATGAGCAGACGGCAGAGGAGGCATGCTGTGACGGAATAGAGATGCTTAACCTTGTGGAAAATGAAAGTGATGGAGTCCAGGCTTTGTGGCGGGCAGCGGATTGACTTGAACCAGGTTTTTCTTCTCCTTAATAAGGCTTGGAAAATTGTAGTCCAACATACAGCTACAAATAGATTGCTTGATTTACTCTCATGCAAGGAACTTGATACTGCAATCTAAATATAATTTGACGGTTAAGAGATTTGTTCAAGTGCTGAGCATTTTTCTTAAAAATGATGACAGTTGAGAACTCATAAACAAGCATAAATCAAGAAAAAGCCACAAATTCTTTGTTAGAATAACACCACCATTCTTTATGGAAGTTTACTTTGTGTTTTCAAAGAGTTACTTGTTGTGTTTGACATTAGTTAGACATTTGTAACTTTTTCTTTATTGTATCTCTAGGCAAAACGACTTGTTGGTGTGGGAAAAAATTGAAGAACCGTCTGTGGACTTTGATGAATTTGTGGAACTTTTTTCTAAAAGTGCTGTTAAGGAAAAGAAAAAGCCAATTTCGGACACCATCACCAAGACTAAAGCCAAACAGGTACGTTAATGACAATGGAGGCCTACTTTGTATACACAATATACTTCAGCTTCAGAATCCCTGTTTATTAGTTCTTCCAGCACTTCTTTTTGCCACTTGGCCAGTTTGTGAGTGACAGGAGGAACTCCTACAGCCAGACAGTTATTATGTGGTGTGAGCTCTGGCTCCGTGCACGCTCCCATGGGACTTTACGTGGGCATTGAGCCAGCAGCTCGCGTGCAGAAAACTTCATGATGGTGATGAGTGTGAAGAGGGAAAGTATTTCATATCCTGGTTTGTCTCATTGTGACGTCTGACTGCTTTGCTCCAACTATAATCTCGATTTCCCTCCATCATTCTGTCATACCTCCGGTCATTGGTGTGCATCTTAAAACATTTTCTGTTCAAACCTTGGCGTTGATGTGATTAAAGCTTGAGATATGCATAAATCACACACGATGTATCCCCACAGAAGAATATTCCCCCTCATAATGAAAACACAATATAATTCCTGTACAGTTTTTCCTAAAGCAGACTGTTACTATTCCACACTCATGATGATGGGAACGCTTCCTCAGCCATGATCCCAAATCCAAGCACAACATTTATGTAAATGTATGTGAACTGTGAAAACCTCCATGTACGATGGTGATGCTTCATTTGACATTGTAGAAGTGCCAAAATGTGAGCACTGACCATCCCTTATGGGCAATCCAGACATCACATCTTGCAGCTAGTAGGAATTTGAGCACAATTGACCCACTATATGAGTGGAATGAAGGAACAAACTCCATATATACAAAAGTAGTTTGTCACAGATGATTTGTATTAGGTTCTGGAGCTGCCTCCCACGTCAAACCATGACACTGTGAGATAGTTTCAAAGTATCAGTAACAATGGGACAGACTGTCCTTGATACCAATGTTGTGATGGTAAAAGACACAAGTATGCGACTTGCAATAGAGTAATAGTTAATGAGAATTAAATTGTGTTTTCATCCTGACAATTACAGTATTTATATTTTTCAGATGTTGAAAACGTTTTCATTTCTATCTGTTTACAATGTAACACAACACAACCTAAACTGGATCCTCAATTGTGTCCATGTTCCATCAGTTGTGCTCTTTTCTCTTGCTCATCTTTATCAGAACAAAAAGTTTCAGAATATGCTTGTGCCCCTTGCAGCACTTGCCCTTACTCAGAGTGTCAAGTGCATAGAACAAAAGGTTCAAATAATTCACAGTGCATCATGAAAACTTTCCGAAACACCAAGGCATCACTCTGGTCTGATAGGGCTCAAATGATGCACAATTCATATTTAAATAAGTAAACTCTAAACAGTTTTCCAATACATAATCTTAGGTTGAATCTTCTACTTCTGTATCAGCAGTTTATCTTCGGATCCCCCACATTTAGTTTAAAGCAGGCCCCTTCTGCAAAGTCCATCTGAGCTCAGTCGTCCTCTTGAGCTTCTGTAGAATGTTGCTTCTCTTTGAATGTTGAAGAGCCTGACATTCCTTCCACAAGTCCTCCATGCTCTCGGCTTGAGCCTTTTCCTGTTCAGCCTGATTGTCATATTATTGTCTTTTGGCCTCCAGCCTCCAGCCCTGTATGGGATCTCTCCCTCGCTCTGGACCTTCAGCAGTGTTTGCTTCTCCAGTGGACTGGTTCTGAGTCTTGGCTGTTTCTAGTTTCTTCTCCTTCAAGTCATTAAAGTCGAGCCCATGATGTGGATGTCCATCAGATGTAGCTGCAGTAGTCCTGTTCCTCTTCTATAACGTTCTATTCTTTTCTAAAATGCGATTTCATGTTTAATTTAGTCAAATTCTGAGCCATTAAGGGACTAAGCAGGGATACGCAATTCAATTACATGTATTTCAATTAAGTACATAATCTTTATTTATATACCGCCTTTCACAGACCAGAGTCACAAAGCGGTTTACAACTGTGGGCATTTGTCCTCTCACTCTAGATGGGAGCGGGGTCGCCAGTTCAGGAGGCGCATGCCAGACCTATTGTACATGTTTTTAGTGGTAGGGGAAACCAGAGAACCCGGAGGAAACCTACGGGGAGAACATGCAAACTCCACTCAGGAAGGCCATGTTCAATTGTATTCAATGTAGGCTTGTACAGGACTAAATCACAGCAGTAGTCATCTCGGAGGACTTCACACAATTGTCTGTTTGCCAATAACACATAGGAGTCATGATGACCAACGTCCATAAATGTTAATAAATGTCCATCCTTGCCTTCCTAGAATTAAAAACATAATTCCAAGTAAGATGGAGTTCTGACATAATAAAATGTATACATGAAATACAATGTATTATTGTTAACATTAGAAAATCCACTCCCGGTAAAACATTCTGCAAAAAGGCTCTGCTCACATCCACATTGTGCTGACTCTTGTGCCACAATTTAGATTTAGAGCTTTTCAAAACGCCACGCAGCTCCAAGATGAACATATAATTAATGTGACGTTGTGGATTTCCATAAACCATAAATCGAAGTCATATGTTTGCATAACTCTTTGACAAAAACACTTGACTATGGAACTTCCTCTAACTTTTGTGAAAGCTTTGCAATTGAGCTGTCCATCACAAACAAAAAAGAATAATAATTGGCCATCTATGATACATCCGTGCTTTGCTTTTCTTGCTGACTCCTGCGGAATTTTAAATGTACATAAATGGGCTGAAACGTACTCGATACAGGCCTATCAGGAGCCGTGGTGAGCAGATATCTCGGGCGTCGCCAGTCACTTCGCATCACATCTCAAGAGTCCCCAGAAGTTGTGGTCGGAGAGAGCGCTGCGTTATTTGGGGGAATGGGGCTTTGGTGATATAACTTCCTGTGTGTTGGGGAGACTTGTGGTCGGTGTGATCTGGTTTTCATGGAAGATTTCTGTCTGGATTGCAGCAGACCAGGGGTTTCCTGTCCTTTCTCTCCCTGATGTTCAAACTTGCTGCTTACTCAGGCAGGCTGTGGTTTGTAATGGCCACTTCTTTTTCAGATGCCAACTAACAACGCTGGCCCCGAATCAACTACAACTGCAACCCTGACCTCTTTTCCTTGTAATAAGTTCACTGCTTTAAAGAAGAAATATTACACATTAGTTTTGGCCATTAAGAATTATCGCAAGACTAGAAATGATCGCAAGAGTGCTTTCAAAGGGAAGTTCTGGATCTATTGCCCGTCCGTCCGTGGTAGCGAATCCGTCCCTCAATGTGGGGCACCCAGAGGTTTCTCACTTATCCCCACTAGATTTTTAGAGTTTTGCCGATGCATGAAGGTCAACAGACAGTGGTGACAATTCAGGACACTTGACAATTAATGACATTCATTGACTTTATCAACATTTATGAACATTGCTCCTCTGCCCCTTATGGATATGGCTCTTCATATTTTTTATCATTGCATTTCTTATGTTTTAACTGTTTGAATCTCTGTGTTGCGAATTTTATGTTTTTTTTGTAAAGTCCTCCAATGTAACAACTGTTGTGATTTAGTAGTACGGATTAAAAAAAATACTTTCTGTCTTCTTCTAACTCCAACATTTTCCAAAGTTGAACATTTACTGAATGCAAACACAGCCCTGATATTGCAATGAAGATCTCAGCTGGGTAATGACCAAAACTTATTTATGGACAATACTTTTGTTTTAAAAGGCAGAAAACTGTGATGTTTGTTCCTTATATTAACAATGGATGGATTTAAAAACAACTCAAAGTCTGTTTTCGATAAATAAGCAATGTTGTAATAATCTCAAAAGCTCAAAAAAGACCGCTTTGCATAATATGTGTCCTTTGAATATTGGATTGCTGCTGAATACTACAGTTTCTTAATGATGTTTACCAGGTACAGCCTCGCAAACAAAAAAAAGTCACGCTCTGCAAATTTGGAAATAAATACATCTTTGAAAACCAGTCATCAGCACATCTCCTCCCCACAAATGTTTATAAAATCATTATTGCTTACATAATGAGTTTCATAGCGGTGTGCACTTTTGTATGTGTTTTTTTTGTTTTAATGTGTCTCTCATATTTTTTTTTGTTTTTCTGCCAGGTGGTGAAACTATTGAGCAACAAGCGGTCTCAAGCTGTGGGCATTTTGATGTCGAGTATTCATCTGGACATGAAGGACATTCGTAATGGTGAGTCTCCCAAGGTCTATGTTGTAAATTAGGACACATACAATAGCACAAACAGAACACTGAGAAAAACAGGCAGGTTTAAAGCTGTGGTACCTAACTTCTAAACAACAAATAATGAAACTAGATAGATAGAAAGATACTTTATTCAGGTGTCCAGTAGCAGCAGAAACACTTCTATTCATACAAACAAAACAAAGAAATACATAATTATAAATGTAGCTAACGATAGAAAAAAAAATGCAACAGCGGTTTAACCAGTTCCCGAATCTAAAAATGTGCCACCACTTCTGGCTTCTATGGGCTTTTTCAAAATGGCTACAGGAGCTGGAAAATTGGGCATGCGTCAGCCGGCACTAGCCCCATTGCACGTGTCTTCAAAATTCTACAGCGACTAAACTAGACTGGTCCAAAAAAATACACTCCCCTTAGCATTGACACACATCGAGAGGTAAGAGTATGCTATACATTAGCATTGGCTAATTCTTATTCTGGGTCCACCCCCATTGGCCTGCGGTGGTATTGCAAACATGTCAGTATACATGTCATTTTGGAAATGTTTGAACCAGGACCCGCCCCCACTGGTTCTTTCATGCAATAGTGAAAAAGAGGGACAACCTTCACCTTCCCAATCAGCTCTTAGCCGAAACAGTCAAATACTGACTTACAGGGACTCACAGAAGTGTGCAAAACAAAATCATTTCCAATAAAATTATGGCAGTTTTGTGGCTATTTCTGTTGTGACAAACATATTATGTAATGTTTATGTAAAAACTAATGTTACCCCAGCTCTAAAAACATGTGTATTTAGGAATAAACTTCCTTGGAAATAATAATATATCTGCAGTTCTCTTCGGGTTAAATAAACGATGACACCAGAGTCTGTGCTACCTCTAAAACTGTCAGGAAGTTTACTGCGGCAGTATTCTGTCACTGCAGGATCCTGCCCCATGTGGAAGGTTAACAAACGCCACTTCCAGCATTCGTTACAGAGGTTAAGGTTTATTGTAATACCACATGTCCTTAACCTCGTTCAACTTGCTCAAATTTCAAGTGTACAAAACCCACTTCCATTTATTGAGTGCTCATTCACTTATTTAACCTCTCAACCCCTTCAGCTCCTCCACTGTTTTCAGAGTTTGCTGCAAAACCACTCAGGCAAAGCTTTACTGTAATATGTTTGGCTTTCCTCGAGGCGTCATGGCGGATTCTTATTTTCCATAGCTTTCGGAAGTGCTGTCGTTTGGATCATCTCGGCAGTATTTGCTTAGGACAGCGAAAAGGGACAGCTTATTTTGAACGGGATCATTGTTGAGGTCATTGCTGATGTCACTGGCACCGATTTGGCCCATCCTGTTTTATCACTAGTCACAAAGTTGGAAGACATTTTGAAAACCTTTCCCTGTGTTTTTCCTTTCTCACATTCGCGGTAATCGCACATTCTTCATTACTGTCTGTCTTTGATGAGTTGTCAACATCTCGTCGGTGCTTAGGTGAAGTCATAGAGGAGAGGTGGATGGGAACCAACTGTCTTCCTGTTTTAGTTTGACTCTGATTGCCCCTCACTTTCCCCCATTTCTAAACACCAGACCTCTTTTTCCCATCCTTTTCACAGGGGCTGATCCCCCCTAAACCTGATTATTGTGGTGCATATGGCAGCGACATAGACAACTCCAAAATAAAGTCCGACCACAGCGACCATGCCCATCCTGAAAGCAGTAAACACAGAGAATGAGTCTGCAGTGAAACAGCATTTTGACTTTCCCCCTAAAGCCTTCAGCCACAGTACACCTAAGCACATACTACATTCATGTTGTTATCCACACTTATCTGGTCAAATTTACTACTTTTAGAAAGTGCAAATGGATTAAGGTTAAATGGTTATCAGTAGCAGTAGAAGTCAGTTAAAAGCCACAGGCCAACTAGGCTCATGAATAATAGTTTGGACATTGTTCTTGCCGTTTTCTAGTTGCGTTAAAGAGCCTATATCCATGTGTGCATGTGTGTGTGTGTACGTCTGTGGAGAAGATGATGATGAATGAGTTCCTTGTATTTGCAATATCTAATGGCAAAAAAAAACCCAAACTCTTGAGCAATCAACTGGAGAGCCTATTGGTGTCATACCACAGTGAAACAATGAGGGTTGGAGAAGTTTGAGTTAAACCCTGGAGCAGACTGTTCTCCCCTGCGACCCTCTGACCACGGCCAAGAGTTTAAGAGTTTAACATTATAACATAATGGCAAAAATACCCATTCTTGTTGGGAAAAACACTAAAATAAATTAGATGCAACAAATGTGTGATAAAGTCAGAAATCCTTGGCTTTCCTTGGACAGCTGTAAACAATCTAAATGACTATTCTGTTTTTGACTCTTTTGTTGTTTTGTTTCTAATAGGCACTTATTTTTAAGTGGTGTGTTTGTGATAAGATTATATATGACAGAAGTAACACTGTGTACTAGATGTACCACAAAGTCGCAGCACTTCTTCCACCTCCGTCTCTCAGGTCACACTGAGGCCACACTCATCAGTGTGTCTCCAGTGTTAGGACACTAACACAACACAATCAGCACAGATTCTGCTCCTCACTATATCACAGGCCAGATACCTGATCCCAGTAACTCACAACATAAGTCAGAAGTACACATATTCAACATATTCAAACGACAAATAACTTCATAAAATAACATCGAAAACTGAACTACTTATGTTTCATACTTTGCTGTCATGTTAACACACTCTTTCTCTCACTTTTCTTTCACCATCACTAACATTTACTGAATAAATGAGTTCCCCTCAAAGGTCTCAGTTCTCCCATTCCAACCAGTCATTAAATTTTGAGGAATGTCTTTAAGTTTTGGATTGTGCTTTTAAATATTCATTGCCAGCCGCTCCGCCTGCTCTTTTTCACCAACAAATTATGACCTCACAAGCACCAAGTGTTTTCTGTTTGTTTTTGTTTTCATTGAAGTTGATTTGTGGACAAGGCTTAGTGGAGAGCAAAATATTCATGAAACAAAAATCTAGTTCTGTTTCCTCCAGGACATGATGTCATGTTTGAGGTTTGAGTGAATTTTAATAATCTGCGTGTTTACAGAACAAAAGATGAATTAGTCTGAACCTTTTAATTGTAGTGACTCACTCTTTTCATATTGCAATAATTCCTCACTGACAAAGTGAAATAAAAGGGTAGACGCCATCATAAACCCTGCTTAATGAAGCGGGAAAACAACTTATGAATCATTTATTTACATGGTATTTATGACAGCTAACGTGAGAGAACAGAGACACATTTTCCTCCTCCATTGTTCTGCTGCTAAACTGCTGTATCTGTCTGAGCAGTTGCTGTTTGGAAAAAACACATACTCACAAACACATTTCTGTCTAAAGTGTGCAGTGTGATCATTTGGTCAAATACTTACAAGACTCCACAGACACAGTTAATGACCAGAGTTGAAACTGCTGCTTTTTTGGCCAATGTCGATGGATGAAACGTGATACATCGTGTAAAACCCATTGTTTTAGCATAAGCCTTTGGGAACAACACAGTCTTATCTGAAACATTTACATGGACTTATATCAACTTGTATCTCTCTTAATTACAGTATTTAAAGTTTTAAAGTTTAAACACAACCGTTTCCCCATATTGGCTTTGAGGACACGTTCATCCTTCACTTCACTTTGGGCAATAATTCTGTATTTGTGGATGTTAAACCACCAAACAATGTCCAGTGGTCCCTTAAGACAGTTGATATATTTTGGAACAAGCAGAAGAGAACCAGCCTTGGTCCAAGTGTGAACGTGCCCTTAATTACTTCTGCCAAGGAGGGAATGTATTCACCAGGATTGTGTGTCTGTCTTTTTGTTTCTTTGCAACGTAGCTCAAAAATTATGGGTTGATTTTGAAGACATTTTCAGAACACCTCATAATGCAGCGTCTCTTGGCAGAGATCTGCGCTCACCGATTGATTTTCTCTTGATTTGCTTTTTATTAATCTACACTGCAAACAATGATAAAGTATGAGGTTATAATTGCTGGAATCAAGTGTTTTTTTTTTTAAATCTAGATTTGAGTACATTCTGACTGTCTTTGCCAACGGGACAAAGCCATTTAGTATTATTTCAAGAACTGGTGCTTTATTTTCTCAGACATTTCTTGTATCTTTTGAAAATAATTAAATTGTGCTTGTCCTATTGGAGAATTGTGTTTTAAGGCAGTCAACATTTGAGATACATATTGCAAAATTTCAGCAAATGTGTCTTTATCCATTGTGTATGAGGTGTCTCTCCTTAAAAATCCAGAGCAGTGCGTTGAGTCTGTAGCAGTTATATGTAGAATCCAGTCAGCCTGTTATTGAATTCATGCCACACACATGACCCTGTGGCATTCCCAGAGCACCTCTTAACACTGATCAAAAGTCATTCAGACACCTCCAGTGCTCCATTACAGACATAGGTGTGGAGAGCTGGGCTGTGAGAGTGCGCGTACAGCAACACCACAGACCCCCGGGCTCTGTTTGTCTTTAAACATTTACTTTCAAAGGATTAATGCTCGTGGGCGCCAGGTCCTCGCAGCGAGACAAAAAGGCGACACCAGGAATTCAAACACAGGAGTTCAAACACACATCTCTGTAGGCCTGACAGATTTCTCCGAGCTGCATATTTATGTTTTACTATCACGATGACAAGTGATAACTGTGTAACTGGCTGCATATGACATTATCCCAAAGCCCTGAAGGGAGACTGTGCTCTTAGTCTATGCCACCTTGAGCTTACCAGAGAGAGATGTGATTAGAAATGATGTTTGAACAAATGGTAGTCAGGTGGTATGTAAATGCAAAGGTATTTCCAGCAGTGTGTGCTCTCTGTGCTCTCATATCTCTAAGAGTGAATGTGAGTGCAGTTCTCGGTTCACTTGTTGAGGTATGAGAAAGGTTCAGTGTGTTTGTTTGTTGTATTGGTAATCATTTGTATAAGTTATAAGCAGGATTTGTTGGAGATTTTAAGAAAGCAGTCAGTGTTGAAGAGAAAAAAATATAATGCAGTTTGTTTTTTCCCCCTTTGTATAAAGATTCATTTAATTTGCCATTTTCAGTAAAACCACATTGCAGTATGTGCAAAAGTCCCCAGTCTGCACAAGACAAGTACATAATACAAGTGTGATATTGTTTAGCTAAAGTCAAATATGACAAGTCTAAATGAATATGTTATTTATACTAATATGTTCATCTAATCCTTTTTCTTTTACAGCCGTTCTCAACATGGACAATAGCATAGTGGACCTGGAGACACTGCAAGCTCTTTATGAAAATGTGAGTACATAAGCACACCATGTAGAATTATCTGTAATCATATTGTTAAGACGATGATAAAACATTGTGCCAAAGTGTAACTTGCCAGCACAGAATCCCATAAACACTCAGCATTGAGTAACAAACCTGATGTAATTATACAATGTACCATTGCTGACAGCTCGGTCTGACGTGACTGCAACATTCGGCCTGGGAAAACCTTGCACTTCGTTTTTCTGTGAGGTTTGCAGAAGTATCATTTTAGAGCGTTCATTTTTGACAAATTAAATGATTTATGGTTAGCAGTTTCATGCCATATTCGAAAAGCAGCCAATCATTTCATTAACAAGTGAAACTGGAGAGAGCTTAGCAGGCGCTCATATCAACAGTACAGTACAGTAAGAAATCATTCATCATGTGTTAGTGCTGTTTGGTTTGGTTCTTCACAAAGGGTAACCCACAAAACACCCAGTTTTATCCATCAAAAATACCTCTCCCTGGTTGTATAAGGATCTCTATCTGGCCAGAATAATAGTCTTTGTCGTTGGATTTGTCCAGATATTGACATAATACACATCTGTTTATTTCAATTGTCAGTCAAACATCTCTCTTGATGTTTTATGGGGAAGTTTTTGCTCGGCTTGAAAGGCAAAGTGTGTATTAGATACCAACCCAAACAAACAAGGGCTGCTCAGAGTTTGGCGACATCCTGGTCCTCTGGAGGGTGCACAGGCCTGGACCACCACCAAGGCTCCTTCATAGTAAACATATTTTCTGACTTAATAACACTGTTCAAAAGGGGTAGTTCTCAGGGAAACATGTTTACCGTACATGCACTAAACTACAATGGCAAGCAGGGGGCGGCCCCTCTTACACAAAAGTCACACAATGCACCTTTAAATTTGGCTCCTGAGCTGCAAAATAAGTGAACTGCTGCTTTAATAGACTCAAATGTTGTTCATTGTAACCTAGGTATCATTGCCGATCAGAGTCCCAATGGACCTGGGGTGGTCAAAGTTTGGCCCCGACCATTATGAGTGGCCCCCAAAATATTCTGAACTTTCAGAATTGATTGCAGCATTTAGTACCGACCCCCAGGAAGACTAGTCATCACCTCAGTTACTTGCAACTGATGGGGATCCATACCAAATAAACTGAATAAACCAAATTGTTGATAAGAGGTATATGGGGAAATCATATATAATTAAAAAGCTAATAAATGCATAATTTTACATTGAACCCACAGTGTATTTGGGTTACATGAAAAATACATAAGTGCTTATTTTGTTTACTTGTTTAAAAATGTACGTACAGTACTTGCTGGATTATTAGGTTTTTACAGTATAATTATGCAGATTTTCTAATTTTAATGTTAAACAGCTGATGGAGCAAAACAAAACCAAGAGACTATTTTAACACAGTGATGAACATAGCATGATTTAATAACAAAGTGTTTTAATGCTTTTGTGGACTTGTGATGGCCAAGCACTCTGGTAAATAGAATCTGTTTTAATGAGATTCCTGATTAAGTCAAAATAATAAATCCATAAATTAAACCACATAAAAATGTATGTGTATGTCCTTAACACTTCCTTGTATCATCTCCATCTGCTCTGTTCACATAAACACACTGAAGCAGGAATATGTGCTGCAGCATCAGCTCTGGAGCTGTGTCCAAATCCCCTCCTGCACCCCAGGGGGAGCTCTAACAAAATACAAATTCATACAAAATAAAAATTATAGGTCGCAGGATTCAAAGCAGCTTATAGTCCAGAAAGTACTTTTTTCAAAATATGAGCTTCAAACCAACCAAAGTAGCTTGTGATATAAGGTAAGATGTGATAAATGTTGCTGAAACTGAAGGAAGGATAATGCTCATAGCCTTTTTCTCATTTCAATAACGAATTCTAGTTTGCAGAGCTCTCATCACCGCGCACCGATCCGTCTACATGTGGCTCCGATAGCTCTTTGTGACCAGTCGCTACATATTCATCAGCTCTCCTTCATCCTCAGATACGTTGGAAACCCAGATCAAGTCACTAAATAATAGAACACGAAGATCAGAACAATTTCCACATTTGCACCACCATGCCGCTTGAAAGATCGTGCGAAATTCCAGCGTGTTGCTTCTTGGCACCACTACACAGGCCGGCCCCTGGACCTTTGGCTGTGGAGTTATATTAATAATGTTAATCATGGGAATTTGAACCAGCGTGTCATAATTCAGGATCAAACGTCGTCTAACCTCCTGTACTACACCCCTCCACTCTCTCCCTCACTCTCTCTCTGCCCGTGTCGCCCGAGGCCTTGTTTTCGAGCGCAGGAGCCAAATTGTTTCTCTTTTGTATTGCGAGACTCCATCCTGTCTGTGGGTCTGCAGCCCCTAAACCACAGTTGGCAGAGCAGTCAGGCCGTCTGGAGGAATGCGAGGGGCTTCTAATGGTTACACCCTGACTTTTCTCCCCGAGCCGGGATCCCACACTTCTCTGAGCTGATTCACAAACAAACCAATGAGTGCTGTGCCGGCTAAAGTGCTCAACAACTGCTCACATCTGACACAATTCAATTCAATATATTCTTGTGTAGCTCTAAATCACAACAGTAGATATCTCGGAGGACTTTACACAACCGTTGAATTCGCCAACACGGATCAGAGAATCAAACGGTTCAAACACAAGAAATAAAACAGAAAACACATTGGTATTGGTCCATCAGGGGCAGATGACCAATGTCCTGAAGTGTTGCCAAATGTTGATAAATGTCCATTAAATGTTGAATGTAGTGTCCTGGATCATCTCTGCTGTGTTTCATGCAATAGTAGTGGTGACTGAAAGAGGGTAATTCACTTTACTGTCCTGGTTTCTGAGGTTCTTTAAAAAGCTGTCACTCAGATGATGTGTTGCCATAGTGCTTGATTCTTACCATCCATTACAGTCCATCACACCTGCACAAATACTTGTTTAGAAATCTGTGTTTGAATAGAAAAATTACTACAAATAATGTGGTGTCAACATGTGGTTTATGTCGAAACCACATAACACACAACACTTCAGTAAAGCCTGTTTTCTGAATGTAAGAGTACGTTTTGGAATTGAATGAATGGGTTGTTTGGGTTACACATAGAGTGAGAGGCCTTAAGACTTTACCAAGACCCTGATCCAGGTTTAGTTCCTGGCTTTGTTCCTGCTTAGTTTCAGTTTCAGTGTGGGTTTATATTAAGATAAGATATTATATTAAGATAAAGATAAGATTCAATAAAACTTTATTGATCCCACAATGGAGAAATGTACATACAGTAATATTGGTGTGCAAAAAGACAAGAAATGTGCAAATACTGTATGTTAAAAGTGGAAAAGATATAGGGTTTATTCATTAAACACCAACTATTATCATATGTCCGTCATTACTTCACACTTTCAAAACTGCATTTGATGATCCAGTACAAATCATTCACAGCAAGAGCAGACTGTGACAACAGGATCTAACATTGTACACACAATTTCAAAACAAGCCAAAATCAGGAAATAAAGAATAAATACGTAGACATTGGAAATCAGAATATTAAAATAAGTGAACTTTTCTCCTCTCCTGATGACTTTCTCAATATAACCAGTAACATAAAAGATCTTGTTGTACTGGGTCCACCTTTTCCTTAATGCGTCCCATTGAAGTCCTAATCACTTTCAAGTATTTGATTTATTGATTGATTGTATTTTATTTCAAGCTTAGAAACAGGAATCAATTATAGATTGATATATATACATATATATTATTTTTTTTACACTCCTGTTAATTTGAAAAATTGTGTTTCACAATTGTTTAATTTCTATATGTCTGTTTATAGCCATTTTCTCATACATTTTTTCTTACCTGATCATAGAAGGCGCATTGAAACAACTTTCAATGTTTTATCAGAAATGGCCTACAGGCTTTCTTTGCTAAAACTCAATAGCTCACATGACTGTCTTTGAACTGTATGTTTTCAATTCTTTGAACTATAAGCTATGGACTGAGGGTCAGGGGGACAGTGGTCATGATGTGGACTCCGACTGCACGTCTGACCCGCAGACTCTTACAGGAGTCGAATGTCAGCGGTCACTGAAGGCCATGTTCACTGCCACAGCAGGCTTGTGATATTCTAATGATATTCCCATGCATGCTGTTACACAGCCCTCTTTGTCATGTGGGGACTTTCATTGACTTGCAGTTATAGCAGGACTGCTCAAAAGCTTAAGTAAAACCCGGTGAAGAGAAAGGTTTGGTGGAAGGATAATATACTGCCATAGCTGCCATGAGGCAGACTGTCATTCAGCAACCCCTCCCAAACACACAACCATCTGCACAATCATGTGAAAAGGGCATCGTGATCAGCTCATCCTATTTCGTTTTATTTTAGCATGTACACCTGAACCAACTATGTTTAGTGAGGACTTTGTGTGTATCTTGTAGTGTGCTTAGTGTGTATCTTGTACTGTGTCACCTTGCTTTATTTATAACTTTTACACAGCACTGTAAATATTTTAGTGATTGGCATAAATAATGATAAGTCTTTTGTAGGCAAAATTTTCTGTTCAAACCTGACTAATGAATACCACTTGGTTACCGCCGGACTTCTGGCATCCCGAATCTCATCCTTGGTTCTTTTGCATTTGATATTCCACATGGGACTGTAGTTCTCATGATAACCACCGCTGCAACATGCCCTAGCAATTCAAAGATCACACGCTAATGCCTACTTGTCCCCAATTACAGCAAACACAGCTAGGTTCTGCTGGTGCCCTTTGAAATGGATCTGCTTTGTGTTAAATATATTTACACTTGAAAACATCTCCAGAGAGGCAGAAGGAGAGCCTGCCCTCATCGACAGACGGCAGTGGTGTGCAGAATACTAATCGGGGCCTGCGTACGTTTGATGCTCGTTTGATGTTTCTCAAGGATCCATGCAGAGGCCAAAGACCAGAGAGGTGGACTGGAGGAGCAGAAAAACAAAACTATTTAGACTAGACGTACAGAACAATACCAATGTCTTCAATGAGGAAAACCCAAATATACACAAAGCACTAACACAGGTTGTACTGCTACTGTACTTATCGACCTCTTCCAAGGATTCCCAAGTCCATACCTTCCCAATAGGCCAATTGTTGCCATAATGTTGATAATGGTAAAGATATCCTACATCTTGTTGAGAATGTGTACTGTGCTTAAAGGATCCATGTGGCTGTGAAGTTCTACAGAAGAGTTGACTTTGTGTCCTATGGGAGGGTTTCATTGTTTTCTTCTCTTAGAAACATTAACAGCTATTGTGTTTGGGTCTTGTGAAATAGAGGGGCATTTCTGGTCCTTTTTTCCCCTAAACCTCAGTGTAAAACTGTGGTCCCTCTTGACAACAGGATAATAGTGAGGAATGTGGACTAGCTTTGGGGCAACTCCTAGTTTATTATGCAACTATTGCACTGTACTGGAAAGCAAAAGGAATTGCTGTTTTAGCAGATCTTTTTCCTTCTTGTGTTCTTTATACAAACAGTTTCAATATGTCTAAATATGCAAATGGTGAAACAAATTGAAATGCAAAAACAACCCCACCCTTGGTCTCATTATTTATTATTGCGGATTTGGTTCAACTGTAAGTTCTTAAAATATACACTGTGTAGCTCTTTTATGCCACTTTCTTTTATAAATATGCTATTGCGTTGCCATAAACGTGCTCCATCATCTGATATTGCAGCTTTGTGTGATGTGTAATGTTCAACTATTTGGCAAACAAAAGTTAAACATCAAATAAAGATACGAATCAATATTAAACCAGTATTGAAACCCATTATTCGGTCTAGGTCTTAGTATTGCAGATTGGATTTTTAGCATTGTGACTGTAAATACTATAAATGGGCAGGGTTGCCTCTTCACAGAACTTACTTGGTGTCATCAGTTTGCCCCAATGGAGACCTCTCAGGCCAGAATGTGGAATATTTGAGACCAAGCAAAAACATCCCTTTCAAACACATTACCAGAAACGTTTAATGTTCCCCCGTCCTAAAGGAGAAACAACTGAGCTTCAATAGATCCCCGTTGACAATATATCATTTTATATTACTGAATAATTAGAATTGAACATTTCCTCTGTTGTAGAGAGCTCAAGCAGATGAGTTGGACGGAATCAAAAAGCACATAAATGCGACCAAAGACAAGGAGGACGCTAAGTTATTGGACAAACCTGAACAGTAAGAACTCAAACCCAATTCCCAAGCATGATAAATGAATAATACATATTGATAAATTTAGAGATTTGTACTGATATATGAAAAAAATCCACTTGAAACAAATGTATTGCTTCAGGTTGGTATCTGTGTTTCCTTTCTAGGTTTTTGTTCCAGATTTCTGAAATCCCAAACTTTTCCCAGCGAGTCTTCTGCATCCTTTTCCAGTCGACCTTTCATGAGTGCATCACCTCAGTCATTCGCAAAGTCGACATCCTTCAGAAAGTGTGCAAGGTGAAATATTGTCCTTTTTCAGTCTGTCAGTGTTGAATTTCACTGCACTGAGCCGTGTGTGTGCGTGTGTCTGTGTGTGTGTGTGCTCTGCAGAATTTGAAAGGCAGTCAGAGCGTTCTGCAAGTGCTGGGTCTGGTGCTGGCCTTTGGAAACTACATGAATGGAGGGAACCGCACTCGAGGACAGGCTGACGGCTTCACACTGGACATCCTGCCAAAACTCAAGGACGTGAAAAGCAGCGTGAGTCCAACGGAACCAAACAAACCTAATGAGCTTCGGACAAGTCAATGTTAGAGGAAAAACAATAGTCTGATCCTACACAGATACTCCACTGCAAAATGTTGATCTATTTTTTCTGTTACTGGTTGGGAAGTTATTCAAACTGACATTTATTTAGATTTCCCCTGTTTCTGAGGAATCTGAATACAAAATCACATTCATGAAAAAGTTCATGAAGAAGTTTGCTTTCAAGGCTCCCTTTCAAAAGCCAATGTTGGTGGTTCTTAAACCATGACTTCTATATTAATTTCCACTTTATTGGCATGCACATTCAGTGTAAATATATGTTTACTTGTGAATGTTAATTAAACTTAATGTTCCTGGCAGAGGGCCTCCTGTTCATTGGTAAGACCTCAACTTTTGATTTATTTTAAAGAGATTTCCAACCAGATATGAGTGAATAGAATATTCACACATATATGATTTACTAGTTTCGATTTTCCTCGCCATATTTGCTTTGCATCAAATCAATTTCTGCTGTGTCGGGGCCGGGTCGCAGGACCTGCAGTTTGAATAGAGACGGCTGAACACATTTCCACCAGCTCCTTTATTCTGTGTGTGAATTTCAACTTTTCGTTTGATATTTTGATCTTTACGGATCTTTTACCTTAACCAAGAATTGAAGTAGCGCTGTCTGAATATTGCTATCTAAATATAAAAGAACAATATTAAAATACTGTATATATCATTGATATATTTATATAACCCTTGGGGGGTTCAGTGTTGTGCCTTTCCAGAAAACTCATTTATGCATTCCTTGCTTTAGTTCGTACAACAATTTCTCACAGTCCTGGACAATCAGTCGGTCTGCTGTGTTTACCGAGCTTATTAAATATCTCCTCCACAAGCCGACATGCCCACGACACTGCCATATAAGGGCACGGCGCTTTGTGTTTTGTGGTGCTGCTGTTGGCTTGAGCCAGGAGTCCATAAAGAACATCAAACTTTCCACAAGTCTCAGTTTGAACAGCCAGCGTTTGGCCGTTTGTGTGTTTTGTTGTTGCATTGCTGTCCGAGTGTCAAGCTGCACCCCCTCCTCCGACTTCCCTCTAAACCACACTCATTCTGGTTATCCCCGGACAAATTCCAAAGCTCTGTTCCTAGCATGATGAAATTAATACATAAATAAAGGGATTTTGGTTTATTTATTTGTGTCTTCTCTCTTTGCTTGCAGGATAACTCCCAAAGTCTTTTGTCCTACATCGTTGCTTACTATCTGAAGCACTTTGATGAGGTATGTTTTGCTTTTGTGTTTATTTGAATGGCTTCTTCTCTTTTACTTTGATTTGCTTAGAAATCCTTCCAGAGCCCTCTTTTCATCTTGCCTTTAGCCAGAGGATACAGTCGGCTTATCCTTTATCAAATTATTTATTTTCCTTTTGTTCATTTATGGCAAAAGAGAATCTCTCTCTATCCTCTTCTGGCCAGGCTAATTCTCCTGTCTGTCTTTGGCTCGACCTCCCTGGCTTCATTCACTCTCGCAGTCTGCTCGTTGGCACAGCATCCAAAGGAGCGCTAGTGTAAATAATTAGTTTCTCCAGATGAGATTAACTCTGTTGCAGTGCAGCCGCCAAAGTCAACCTGCATAACATGGTTTGGGTCTGAGGATGGGGCTGCAACACGGATCAGCACAGCGGGCCAGGACCACTCCATGGGCAACACAGTGTTTAAAGCAAGAAGGTCCCGGGTTCCAACCTGGGGCTTTCTATGTGGAGTTTGCATGTTCTTCCTGTGTCTGCACAGGTTTTCTCTGGGTGCTCCTGTTTCCTCTCCCACTAAAAATTCAGGGTGAATGAGTGCAAAACTTTCACAAAATGAAAATATATATATGAGGTTTTAAATATTGATAGAATTGTCAATGGGACAAAGCCATTTAGACTTATTTCAAGAACTGTTGATTTATTTTCTCATTCCAAGATAATTCTGCTTGTCCCATTGGCAAATCTGATGTTAAAACAGTCAAAATGTGCTCAATTTATAATTAATTTTGCCATATTTGAGCAATTTTTTGACTTATTTTTTATCAAACATACACAGTGTGGCACTTGCAGATCACCCGCAGATGTCAGCGCCCGTAGAAGTTCACCGTAGCACACCATCTTCTTGCAAGTATAGCTCCACATTACACATATCTTTTACACGTTATTATTCAGAGTCCTGCAGCTGTTGTGTGAATGCAGAATTTAACATTGTGATGCATTATAATAGATCTACACATTCAAAGCTTAACTGCAAACAAAAGGCCCCTAAAAGGTCACTGTTTGTGTGAAATAGGTTCAAGATATCTGAATGTAGGTATATTTTGACTAATTATGAACGGTATCAGTAGCTTAGTCTTATTTCTGGCCCAGTTTCAACTAATATATTGCTTGTCTTATTCATTTCTTAGGAAAAAAAATAGTTTGCTTCTTGAATATTTGAATGCACAAGGTTAAATAAGACAAATACTTCTGTCAAGTAAGTAAATAATAATGTTGTCCAGTGTAGCTCCCCATTATAATGACTTTCTTTCTTCCTTTCCACTGCGTAAAGAATTAGATCTTTTTCTACTGTATTAGGGTTCATTTGAACATAAAAAAAAGTTTAACTCTACTCTGACACAGTACGTAGCATTTTTCTTAAAGCCAATATATTTGTGTATGCACAGGATGCTGGCAGGGAGAACAGCGTGTTCCCACTGCCCGAGCCCCAGGACCTGTTCCAGGCCTCACAGATGAAGTTTGACGACTTTCAGAGAGATTTACGCAAGATGAGAAAAGACCTCAATGGTAAGAAATATCCTCTATCCAGAAATATTCTTTCAAACTAACTATAAAGGGAGAGATGTCTTAACCTGGTGTTCCCTTCACTCTGGGTGCTCAGGTTTACATTGAAAAGGTACTGGCCAAACTCATGCTTTTCCATCACAGAATAAAAGTGAATTGTGTCTTCAGGTGACAACAACCAAAAGATCACTGGTATTAATTGGAAAAAAAAATCTTGGGGCCCCTCCTATAAGCTAATGCGGCTTCCTGGGAGTTCCCTTTTACAAAACACCATCAAACATTACAAATAAAATGTCTATAACTTTGAAAACGAACTTTGACTATGACATTTTGTAAAGATATTTGAATTTGAATTGAATTTGTTGAAACCTAGACACTCAACAGCTGTAGTGGGTCTCAAAGCTTTTCCGTCCTGAACCAGCAACACACCTTTGTCTTAGTTAATATTTAAAATGGTTACCTGCTTTTATACATTATAGGCTATAGTAATAACTATTTATTCACCAGTTAAATCTGGAGATATCTCATGTTTGTTGTTCCATAAATGTTCAACAGAGTCATAAAACGATACAATGTTGTGAACAAATCAGCCCGATACATGTTGTCTTCATCTTTTGCATACTTGTAAGAAAGCGCTCTGACCTGCAGGCCCTGAAGATGGCCCTCTCCTTTTCACTCTTTTTCACTGAGAAAATCTGAGACCAAAAACCGCTCGAAAGAAAAAAAGGTTTGGAGAGCGAGGAACTAGTTACTGGTAGATACTTTTTATTACATCATTCTATTGTTTTGGGATTTGAGAGTTAGGTACCCCAGCTTTAAATCAAATTAAATGAATGAATAATCAACTGTTATGTTATAACACATCCAATTTGTTCTAACACTGGCTCCATCCATCCTCCAAACCGAATGTCCCCAGACGGAGGATGTACCGGACAAAACAGACACTCATTTTGTTGCATTAATCAACCACATATTCACAATGAAAAATAGTTTCCTAATCGCAGGTTGTTCTGGTCATGTTTGGGGGCTGGAGCCAGGTCAAGTCAGCGATATCATCTGTTTGTCATAGAGAGCTAAGCAGAAGCACATGTGGCAGCAGAGGTGGACTCCTGTTGGACCTTTACTGTCCTGATGAAATAGAGATCAAAATGAGGAGGTCAGAAAGTGTGCGCTGCCTATGAACACTATCAAGCCGTTTGTGCAAAGAATAAAAATATTGTTCACAGCGGACACTTATTTTTTCATCACCCTTCTCCACTAAATTTAGTTTCGGGATTGTTGACGTTGGGTTGGCTACGCTTGTGAGATTTCTCTTTTCTTTTTTTTCTTTTTTTGGCAAAATAAAATAAAAGGAAATGGCAGTTTGTGAGAAGTTGTTGGTGGATTCAAAGATGCATGGCCAGAGATGAAAAGCTTCCAGATCAGACTTAGAAATAAAGGTCTTTTAACCCTTTAGGCGCCATGGTGTTTTTAGAAATTTGATTGGAAACAGACAAAAGGAGAAGCCCTGAAGCTTTATATTGAAATAGAGCACTGCTAATAACATCCATTATAGAAATAAATAAACGATGTGAGAAAAATGTAAGGAAATCTTTGTGGGAATCCAGCCTACGCAGTGCGCTGTCAGCATCGCCAGCTAACGTGATGGCTAAATAACCGCAGCTTATCATGGTATCAACAACCGTAACTCGCTATTTTTGCACCTAAAATTTGACATTATATTGTATTGAGGAGTCCAAAAACCACTTTGAATTCAGTGAGTTTGTACTTTTGTGCAAGCTAGAAAATGACAATATCTAGAAAAAGGCACCTTCTTAAATTCTATACAAACCCATTGAAGGAGGATTAAAAACAAATACAATCAACCGGATGCATTCAAATGAAAGAATAAATACCCTTATCAGATCCCCGCACATTGACACGTTGCAAGTCACCTCGCTGACAGCCGGAATACAAGCATGTCAAATTCCTCGTTTGTCAAAATAAGCGAGTACAAAGTAAACACGGATTCTACGCCACAAATCAAGATGACTTATAGAGAATTAGGGCCTGGAACGGAGCTTGGAGCCTGCATGCCATTACCCTGTTTGCAGAAGGAAAAAATGTGGCAACGGGATCAGACCCTGACAAGCCAAACTGACAGGTAAAGCCTAAAAAAGTCCTTTAATGAATGAGCACGTTGGGAAATACTAACTTTCATTACTCTCTCATGGCTCTCACCACCTCGCACACTTCCAGCCTCCAGTCCGTCCGCGTGTGGTAGAGAAACGGCTGTATGTTTTGGATATACATGTGCTTAAAATGCAGATGTGCCTATATGTGCAAGTCAGTACATTTGAAACTTTGACAATTCCCAATCCATGCTCTGTGCTCTATCATGTTTTATGGATCTCCGCTGCTAAACCAATTAACCCTCTGAAGCGCTTTGCCAAATATTGTTTTTCCTCATCCATAATAAGTCTTTAAACTCTTCATTACAGCCATTAAGAAGCATGTAGTTTATCACATGGTAGATGGCCACTTGCCCTGACCCCTAAAAGCAGAACTAAAACATAAATGCATCATCCACATATATTGTACCTGTGCAAAGGCTTACCTCCTAAGGCCTAGCTGAGCGCTCTAGCAGACACGGCTTCGATGACAGACCCCAAGGGGGGGTTCCGATAGGTGGGCGGGTGCACAAATGGCCTTGGCTAGCCCGAAGGACATCCAGCCAGTAGCACAGGAGCACACAACTCACTGTACCTTGAGGAGAAAGGGGGTCATATGGAGAAGGCATTAGAAAGTGGCCAGAGTTTTGATTTGCCCCTAAAGCGCTTCATGGCTCTCCACCTCGCAGGCCCAGAGCTGCGATTGTGTATCCATTAAGGCTGGAGATAGAGCGTGACCGCGGGCTGCTCCAGGGAGGGTAACCCAGGCCTTCCTGTGGCTCCTCCGGGTGTCCTATTAGTCATTATGGTTCATTATGGCTTTGCTAACGCAGCAGAAATACAGCAGTGATTTGTCAAAACAGACGAAATCCTCATCAAGAGCCCTGCAGAGTTACTAATTACAAGTTAAAGTTGAATAAACTTTATATGAGAGCTTTGGTTTCTGAAATAATAATTACGCCTCTCTCTTTAGCGTGTTCGGCGGAAACTGACAAAGTGTGCAAGCTGTCACTGGAAGAGAACCTCCAGCCTTTTAAGGACAAGATGGATGACTTTCTGAACAAAGGTAATTTAGTTGTATTTTTGAACTGGACTTAAACAGTTGATTCAAGTATGGATGTGGTTTAAGATGATTCTCTTACAAAAATATACTTTACCTCCACAACTATCTCTACAAACATGTATCCTCGGCTTTATATTCTTCAACTGTATAACATCTCCATGGTTCTGCGGGATATTTTTTAATGTATTTTTCAATTGAATCAAAGTTGAAAAAAGAGAAGTTGCACTTTTTTAAAAATCCAAATGTAAATATTAACCTTTAAAGATTAACACTCAACGTCAGTTACTGCACTTTGGAATTATGACATTTAGAGTGATCTTTTTTTTTTGTATAATAATTTGTATGTTAGTTTGGCTTCAGAGATTTGTGGGTTGGATTCATATCAGTGTAGATCATGTGTCAATGCCAGGGTCAAATCTTTAAACCAGAGAATACACCGCTCACCTTTAGAGTGACCTACGTCCAGTATATCTGTTGATTTTAGGTTTTAAGTGCAAGATGAAAAATGATCTATTCCAACTTCAAAAATCAAATAATTCACCAAAGTTACGGTATGATTGTAATGAATTTCACACAGTTGGAAAAGCAGTGGGGGGTAAAGAACAGCTTGTTTAGGAACGGATTCAGACCACTGCAAAGATCCAGAATTTTGTTAAAGGTTTTGTCATTATCATTAATATCAAATCCCAAATGTCATGGACAGATCTGTGCAACTTTCTGGAACGGAGAACCAAATTATTAGTTTTTGGTGTGGATCTGGGACACAATCTTGCTTGCTTAGTTTGCATGCTTTGGTATACACACCATAGTATATGTATTAAATAGCAAGAAGCCACTTGTACCATGGTCAAACACTCACACACTCAATCATAAATAAATACACCTCTACACTCTCAAAAACATGTTTGAGGAAAGAGACAGAGAGTGAAAACACACACATAGATAGATGGATACTTTATTTTTTTAACTAACTAACAGTAGTGCACATGTTTAACTCAGACAGACCTTAAAGCATAAAAGCAGAAAAAGCATTGTTTTAATTGTCTGCTCTTGATTTTTACAAACCAATACATATTTAGCATGTTCAGCAACTAATATTAACCCCCTATTGTACAATAGACCTTTAAAAGTATCTGTGATAAAATCTGTACGTAAATGTTTGTGCTGAGAGCTCTGGGTTACTATGGCGACGCCTCGGGTGGAGTGATATGGTCCCTGTAATTTCACATCTTAAACAGCATTAATCAACTGTAGCTTGCACTGGAATCTTGACGTAAATGCTTTGTTTGTGCTTCGTGTTCAACTTGTCTGTCTGTGGGTTTACTTCACAGATAAAAAGCAAATTGGAATTGCCGTCACAGATAATGGCCGCTTGAATCCGGAGGTTTTATCTGTTTCATTTCACAAACTGTCTGCGTGTATCTTTGCCGGGGCCGTGATGGAGTTTTGGCTGAGGGCTCCACTATCGGGGGCTCGGTGATAGCATCAGCGGTAGACACCATTTGGGCTTGTTTGCGCCGTATCTCAGCGTACCGTTAAACTGTCGTGTCAGGTCGCTACGGTCTCGCACTGCTTCAGATACCTGGCTCTCTTTATGCTCCTGTCTCGTGCTGCTGCTCTGTTCTCTACACACTTTTTCCATCAGGCAAATCAAAGCCCTCTGTAGCCTCTCTGACCCCATCCCTCCACTTTCACTCCCCCATCATTTATACAAAGAAATCAAACAAAGATTTCGCAGCGCGGCGTTCACCACAAGTGCTGTTGAATGAGGAGCGATTAAAGCAGAACTATGTAACGTTGGAACGAAGTGAACAATGGAGTGGAATGAATGTAATGTGCAAAGGACGCTTTCCGTTCTTCTCTGCCAACCCACCAACTGCAGGGGCATTTAACATTGTAATGTGATTAACTAAAAGACTATAATGAGAACTATAAAGACTGATTAACTGTGACTATAGAATGAGATAAACCATGATTCTGTACTATTTAAACATGGTTGTCTGGGCAATCTGTCGAAGTCGGGGATTCAAGGATTTATGTATTATAGTCAATTATGTAAAAAATATGTAATTTATCTTGACGTATACTTTTTTTCTCCAGCCGAACTATAACATACAGTGGGTTACAAAAGTGTCAATACAAAATATATTAATGAGTTAGAAAAAGGCCCAGACAAAGTCCAGACAGAAGTCCAATTGAAAATCAGAATGACCAGAAAACGTTAGGGCACAAACCATTTGGCAAACCTGAAACTCTAGATATACAGTATGAAAACCAAAAAGAATTGCTTCTGTGACTGCTGGGATTCCACAAAGTATATATTAACGCTGAATGAATACTTTTGCAATCCCACTTTTATCATTCATAATAATCATTTTTAAACAATATAATACCCATTTTTGCTTTCACTTTGCAGAAAAAGTAGGTTTGTGGTTGTAAACATGACAAAAAGAGCAAAAGTTCAAGCGGCACTTTTAAAGCCACTGTACAGATAACACTAAATGTAAACAATACGTACAATGAACACATCTTTTTCAATGCATTGTTTATGCTGTTTATTTCCAACTACAACATTTACTGTCATAATGTCAAACTACGTTCATTGAGACATAAATAAACTGGTCAATAATTAAAAGTAGCAGTTCACTTCAGAAAACAGCCTTGTAATAAGTGTGCACAGCTGTTGACAGAGAGAATATATTTCTACAATAAACATTTAGATTGGAGCTTCACCTTCACACATCAACAGCTCCTGATTCTGATTCCAGTTTTACTATCACTCTGAGGACACACAGGAGTTGGAAGGATATCTGTGCGTAATGTTCCCCAGATGTCACACAGTTCTGCTTTTATGCCTATAACCCAAACACTATTAGCAGCTTGTAGCTCACTGTCCAAGTCAGAGCTTGTTAAACAGCGGATGGTCATACTCCATGTAGATGTGAGTGGAACTTTGACTCAGTCTCCACTCCGCTGTGACCAATCTCTCTGCAGGAAGCACTTTCTCTTTCTCTTGTATTCAAATATCAGTACCACTCCGAGATGCTTAAGTAGCAGGAGTAAAGGCAGGAAAGAAAATGTTTCAGAATCATTAGGAGGCATTAGAATAAATAAACACAGTACATAGAAGTCGAGTAAAAGAGTAAAAACCTGCCTCACATTCTCAGGAGGGCTGTATCTTAGCTGCATGAATTGGAAATGCTGCCTCTCCATGTTTAGCCTGACTCTGGGCTCAAAGTACTTATAATAATAATAATAATATAATAAAACCCACTGTGGTAAACTTAAAATTCCCTCCCAGAGTACAAAGTTTTGTCGGTACGTAAAATACAGATTTGTTGAATAATTGACAGACTCGTACAGTTATAGAATTGTTTCATACTGAGAGAACAAACAAACATGTAGGCATTGTATATGCACCTGTAATTAGCAGTAGAAACTTCATCTATTTGGGTTTAAAAGCACTAGAGAAGTAAATGTTAAAAGTTATCAATAAAGTAAAGTACTGATACCAGGGAAAATATTGTGTTTTATTTTTTTTACGAGGGATCAAAAGGTGGATTTTTGAGCTTGTAGCGACTCAGCGCCTGTGTGAATCAGAATCAGAATCATTTTATTGCCACGTAAGTAACAGGAAGTCACAGGCTAGGAAATTGCTTTGGCTCTCGGTGCAAACAAGTCAAAAGTAGAGAAAGAAAAAGGCCTAATGGTCAGCATGGTGCCTTTTCTCCATCACAGTGCTCTCTAGAATCAATAGTTTGGAAGTTTTTCTCTGCTGTGGGACCCCCGCTTCAGAAAACCTACAAATTAACTGATCCTGGAGCAGTGCAGACACAACCCTGATTAAAAGTTAAGGCACCATGCTGTCACTCATACAGCCACTGGGCAAGGTTTTTCACGTACAAAGTTGCATAATGTACTTAAATTAAAGTACGTAGTTTCCAACTTTGTCAAATAATCACAAGGTGTTAAAAGAATCCTACACTCCAAAAAATGATCAAATATGAGGTATTAATTACTTGAATCGTGTGGTTTTTATCTTAAATTGAGTATATTCTGACTGTCTTAAAACAAGATTTTCCACTGGGACAAAGCCAAGGGTTATTTCAAGAACTTTAGCTTTTTTTTTCACATCCCAAAGGGGACATTTCTTATCTTATCTTACTTATCTTTTTAAAACAAGATCATTTGGTTTGTCCCATTGACAAATCTTGTTTTAAGGCAGTCAAAATGTGCTCAAATTAGGATACATTTTGGCATATTTGAGAAATGTCTGCCTTATTTTGCATCTGTTTTTTGCAGTGTATGGACCAAGGGCCTCTGTGGCATTCACATAGTTACCATTGAAAGAATCATTGTAGTTTATTGCTTTGACAATTTGTTTCCCCTTCGACTGTGAGTGTCACTGCGAAAGGCTCCAGACAGGATTCTTGGGGTTCCTCTTTTGCGGCGGTGCAAAAGAACAACAGCCAAAAGTCGTATTTTTGTTATTTCTGTAATTTCCAACATGCACGGGGTTCAACTGTCTCTGGCTCCACAGTGGAAACCGCGTTTGTTTATGTTCTGACCATGAAACTTACCACAGAATAACAGTGGGAGCCGACTTGTAGGAGTGAGGGCTGTTTGGTCTAGTCTGCCTCACAGATTCACATGCAGTCAGGCCTTTGATGGACGCTGCGGACTTCAGGAGAGCGGTGGCCACGCGATAATCTGTGCGATGGACACCCAGATTAGTCACAGTCAGGTTGCACTCTCGATACTCCCGGCTGCTGGTCCTCACGCTGCTGGTTCTAGTTACAAACGGCCCCGAAATACTTCATCTACTTTTGTTCTTTTCGAGTTTGAATGGAGAGATGTCTGGAAACAGGCACAGTTTAAAAAAGTTGTCCAAATGTCAAAAGACTGTGGTTTATTTGCATGTTATTCAGGGATTGTCATCTTTTTTCACCTCAATAATATAATAGTAATATGTTCTCCACATGGATTCTACATCTGCGCGGTCCTCTGTCCGTATGTGTTATTATTCTTCCCTTTTTTATCTACTAAGTCGACGTGTTTGTTTTGACTCACGGGTTATCTGCCTGTCAATCACAACTACTGGGACTTGTATCCTCGTTTCAGACTTCTTATTCTTATCTGGGAAGTCTGTGTAGTCTGTGGCCAGAACGGTACAGTGTTAGGGTTTAGTAGTCCAAGTATACTGTATATAGAAAATACTAAATACAACAGGAAAGGGAGTTCCAAAGTGGCCTCAACCTTGAATTTAGCATCATATTATGTATTTAGGGAATATCAACAGGTGATACAACACAACACAATGCAGGTGAACATACAGTACAGTACATAAACAAAGAGAGTTATGCAAAACTTGAGATATACAACTCAAGAGCAAGACAACAAAACCGTGGATAAACCATAAAACAGACTTTAAAAAAAATAAAAGCAAGACAGGAATAAACAATCAAAGTATATGTTTAAGACAGCAGCTGGATACTGTTCTGAAATCCTATTTGTGAGGATACAGAGGTATTCAAAAACAGCTACAGTGAGGAGTTCTTTATTCACCAAAGTGTTTAAATTAAAGATGCCAAACCTTTATTGGATTCTGTTTTTTAAGGAGTGAGTTTTCCATGTTTCAGTGATCGATGAGAAAGGTGCTTTTCTTTAGAGAATGTTAATCAACCTAAATTGCTGCATCATATTAACATGGATGTGACGCTCCTGCTCTGATTACACATTAATCGAAACATGTCCCATCACACAGACTACATGACTATTTCATTAAGACAGCGGCATGTTTGATTGACTGATTTGTGCTCGTGCATTGATGAGCTGTCAACAGGACGGACGGCTGAGGTGCTTTCTGATTTAATGCTGCAGAATGGTGAGCAGTGCACTGCTCCCACTGGGCTCCACTCAGATCTTTAGATGTGGCTCTGGCTTCAATTACACGTAGCAACCAGATATTCCCGGGATAAGAGAGGAACATGCGCCTGTGCCAGGAAAGATTCTTTCCTCCATCCACTGTCGTGTGTGTCTTGGAAATCAATGAGGAAGTCAGAGGTTAGTCTGATCATGTGACAGGTGAGTGAAGCTCCGTGCTCTGAGAGAAGCTCAGGGTGAAGACGTGACAGGGTATGCATCAGCTAAAGACACAGTTTGACAGGTAAAGGAGAGAATGCAGAGAATATAGACTATTCTCGGACTCACAGACAGATGACGGCACTGCTATTACCAAATAGACCTTCAAACTGACAAAGGCTCTTGACAGGGAGAGACTTAATGTTTTCTTTTTCACATGTGTCCAGTGGACTTCATGTGGCCTCCTTTTCCTTTCCTGCCTAATTCAATTCACTGATTTCACTTTTGAACAGCACTTATAAATACGTATTATCAAATAAATGCCATCACCTCCCTCTGATTTTTGGATTAAGACGACTGAACTGATCATAGCTAAATGTGTTTAGATGACGATCGGTATCTGCAGGGTGTTGCCTCGACTGTGTTTTTCTTTCTTTCTTTACTCACACACGCTCTTAAGTGTACAAACACATAGTCATCCGTCTCCATTGGAGGTTGCGTCTGCACAAAGAAGCACTTGTACTCCGATCTGCTGGACTCATTTGTCAGTTGTGCAAGAGCGGGACGGTCCGACACTCAATAACCGGGTGGCACGCCGATGACCCAGAGGATGACTGCTGCTTAAGTAATGGTGACATGTGGAATCCTCTTGTATATACATGTTGCGCTGGAGGTGAAAGACACTTGTGCCTCACTCTACAGGAAATATGTTAATCCTGTATTTACTGATACAAGCGTTCTTTCCTTTAATCAATCTCTCGCTTCCTTTTGCAGCCAAAACAGAGCTGGAGACGCAGGAGAAGCAGCTGGCAGACACTCAGAAGATGTGAGTCTTTGTTTGAAAACATTTCACTTGTGGGTTTGAACGTTCAAGTGACATGGGTGAATATCAGGTGATTTTACCTACATTTTACAGTCTGAGATAGTTCGTGTATAGGATTGCAGCAGTGCAGTTTCCTCACAAAAGTGTTGCACGTCTCTATATTACTGCAAACACATGGCTCTGGATGTGTGCGTAGATACACACTATTCATCCTTTCTTACCTCTCTCAAGAACAGGCCATTGTCTTGAAAGGGCAGTGGGTTGGATTCCACCTCTACCCCTTTCTGTGTGGAGTTTGCATGTTCTCCCCGTGTATGCGTAGGTTTCCTCCTGGTGCTCCGGTTCCACCACTAAAAACATGTACAATAGGCCTGACATGCTCCTTCTGTACGGTGCTCCCATCTCTGTGTGGAGTGAGAGACAAAGGCCCGAAAAAACAAAACAATTGTAAAGCTTTGTGACTCTGGTCTGTGAAAGGCACTATGTAAATAAAGATAATTTACCTACTTACTTACTTGAAATCTCCTCTTCTTCAAAGAAAAAGTGTTCAAAGCAGACCAAGTGTACAGTGGTGTAACAATATGTTTTAAGTCAGTAAACCAAATCAAATCCGTGTTGCAGACAGAAAGTCAAAACAGTCCAAAACTGGTTGCCATGTCCTGTCGAACTTCCCTGTAAATCTCTCTTCTTACAATAGCAAAGCAATGATTTAAAGCTGGGGTATCTAACTTGTATGGTTTTTATTGTTCTTTTACTAAATACTAGTAATAATTTTACTTTTACTAATACTGTTTTTTGTCCCAATAGCAAGATCCACAACGTGCTGTCTTAGGGTTAGGGTTATCTTATTAGGAAATATTTAGAATACTTGGTAGAAAGAGTCATGTGACCAATAGTGACACTTTAGGCTGAGAGCTGATTATCTGGAGGAGGGTGGTCCACTGTTTTTCACTTTTCTCATTGAAAAGCTTCAACTAAATATGTGACAGAGGAAAACCAGTGATAAAACCAAACTGTTGTGAGAGCGAGGATCCAGTCAGATGGATTTAAACAATCAATCAACTTTCATTTTTAGAGCGCCTTTCCTACACAAGGCAACACAAAGCGCCTCCCAACCCATATCACATCAAGCATAAATAATGTATTTTATTTAACCGAGAAAGTCCCATTGAAATCCAGGGAGTCCTGGAAACATAAAACAACATAAAAATCTACATGTACATAAAGAAATACAATTAAAAACAAACATTAAGATCACAAGAAACATTAAAAACAGAGAAAAAAAAAATCACACAAGTATTTAAAAACCTTAAAACATCAAAATTAACAGGATTAAAATAAAAAATCGCCACAATGCATTAAAAATAATAAATATAAAATCCTTCAGTTCAGTTGTATACACCAATGTAATAGAACCACTTTTTCGTGTGTGTGGTTTGAACGTTATGTACTCCATACCTTAAAGTTGTGAATTTGCCTGGAAGCGAAGCAAGATGCGTGGTTATTATTAATACTTCAGTATACCGAAACCCAATCCAGCTGTTTTGTCAATATTTAGCACTGGCGGTTCCTCCTGTTACACTTGTAGGTGCTTCGCGTGGTGCCAGTCCTTTGAGCTGATGAGAGGCCCCTCGTGCGGTGTCTGCCTTGTTTATCTAAGGCCAAAGAAAGTAGACAGCTCCGGCTCCGGGCTTCTGTTACTGCCACCAAAGAATGTATTCGTATAGCACGCTCTAAACACAGGCAGACCAAAGCTGTCTCTCTATTGATCCAGTGCAAATGGCTCCCACATTTAACACTTGTTGTATGTCTTATTTCCTGTTTTATTATCCACACTCCCAGATAAACATTACAAAATATAACGGCGGAGCTATATTTGTGTAGGGCTATATAAGGAAATGGACAAAAGTCACTGAATCTGCGACTAAAACACCGGCGTGCACAGACGTCTTGGCCTTGCTCTTAATTTCTGAGCCATTCATAAAGAGGCCCGTAATACCGAGATTACTGGCGCCTTTCACAATGAGTTGAAATGTTTGAAATTGTACGTGTTCACAGCTTTCTGGAGCTCAGCGTGTCGTTCTCAGTCAAGCCCAAAGGCGGAGAGAAGGAGGTCTCCCCCAACACGCTCTTCTCCATTTGGCACGAGTTCTCCTCCGATTTCAAAGAGCAGTGGAAGAGGCAGAACAAGCTGATGTTACAGGCGAGGTAAGCAAAGGCCCAGACTAAACAGGCGTGGATTATGATACCTCTGTACTGTCCCACCACACGCAGAAATACAGACAAAACACAATATTCAATATTCAGACAAAATTCAATGTGTGTCTTTGTACCATAACTGCAGCACTCCATCCTTTTGCTACTTAATGTTTATCCAGTTGTAGCCATCACCTGCCATGTGAATGCCAGATCCTGTCAGACCCTTGAAGTTAAGCAGGACAGGGCTGGTTAGAACTATGATGGGAGACCTCTGGGAACACCAGGGGCGGCTGTGGCTGTAAAGGGCCAGACTGTTGGTGTGTCCTTATAGGGAAAGCTTCATCCGGATTGACAAGAATGAGTCTGGTGTGTGTGAATGGTTGGTGATGGTCAGAGGGTGCATACTGGCTGCCTAGCTACTGTCAGTGTGCCCCAGGGCAGCTGTGGCTTCAGTAGTAGTTAATTACAACTGTGTATGGAGTGAAAGAATAATTACATAGCGTCTTGGAGTGTCCAAAAAAGCGCTATAAAAGGCCAATTTATTATTACCACTGTAAATCGGCTGTGTCCAAACTTTTTAGTAAGAGTGCCACTTTAGTTAGCCAGGTTTGTTCAGGGGCCGACAACATGAATTTGAAATGAAAGGCTACATGAGCCTCTGAATCCAGGGAATTGACTTTTAGGGTTGTATACAAGATGTTGTATACTACCCTGTATTTTGTATGATGTATTTATTTCTCAAATCTATTTAACCCTTTAACATTCCTTGTCTTGTTTTTCTTGTTTTGGATTTTTCTAAGATGTAGGACACTAAATACACAAATATTTTTACGTTTTTTGTTTTGTTTTTTTAACCTCTATATTTTTGAAATGATAGGCCTTTACCAAATGGTTGAGATGCAGTTTGATGGTAAAAGTGTCTAAAACCAAAGAGGTATATTTCAGTTCCAAGCTTCAAGTAGATAAAGTGACTCAAAAGGTGATTCACTAAATGACTGAAGAAACCATTAAAAGGTTAAAATCGAGATAGGGCTAAAGTCATCACATTGAGTATCCCATACCTCTAAACTGTAATATTGGTAAAAAATACATAAATGTCATGCTTAAAGTATTGGTGGTTGTCGATCCGTCAAAAAGTTTCCTTACTATTATTATTGAGCATCATTCTTGCACAATTTGTCTTTTACAACATATTAAACACAAGTCATTTGTGCAAACACAGCTTTTCTTCGTACCAAAGCTCGTTCAAAATGGACTGAGGCAAAATGTAAAACTGTTCCAGGATCAAATTTATGAAAATGTAAAACTTAAGTGCACCAGCCCCAGAGAAAAAATCCTTCCCATTTGTAATGAAACCATACCTAATAGTGCCAACTGGGCTCATGTGGAAATTAGCTGTTTTATTTATTCCAAAGCATTACAAATTGAGCCACTTTTACATTCTGTCCCCGAGCACAATATCCAGGGCCATTCATAATTTCCAGTGCATGTTGTGCAGATTCTATCAGCTTCATACACATGCATGAAGGGAAAGAGGCTAAGTGACCCTCATCAGCCTCCTCACCCTGTAATCAAAGCCACACAAGCACCATCCACTGGGCTCACCGCGGACTGATCAAGAAAAGATACCATTTGTTCCACCAACAAAGTCATAATTGGCAAATGATGCAAATAAAGATGGAATGAGGAGGTGGATTTGTGGACGAAACGGGAAAACGTGAACCTATTGACCTTGTGATGAAGCAGCGGTTTATAAAGACAATGTCACAATTCAATTTATTATGGTATAGCCCTAAATCACAACAGTAGTTATCTCGGAGGTCTTTATACAACCGTTGAATTCGCCAACACAGATCAGAGAATCAAAGCGTTCAAACAACAAAACCGAAAACACATATTCAATCTGAAGAGACCAAAGACACGATTAATACAATAAAATAATGTATTTGTTTGGCGCATTGACCCCGGCAGTGACACTTGCAGCAATGAGATCGATTGCAGCTGAAGATGATCTCAGATCCCCCGGGGTCAATCACTGGTGGTGGCTAGAGTATGGTGTGAATGGGGCGGAGCAGGAGCCAGAGCAGGAGCCAGAGCGGGAGCCAGAGCGGGAGCCATAGCGGGAGCCATAGCGGGAGCCAGAGGGGGTGCTGGGGAGGTGGTGGGTGTTTAAGAGCCTCAGGAAGCGTTGCTTGTCAGGAAGTGGCTGCCTTTTAAACTGCCCGCTTTGCTGTGAGAGGGTTGGCAAGAGGCTGGCCTGGCTGTGTGATTGGCTGAGGCTCGAGGCTGGCAGAGCTGTGTGATTGGCTGAGGCTCGAGGCTGGCAGGCACTCGGTCTTTCAGTCTGAACCTGCGCATTCAGCTTCATTTGTATTGGTCCATAAGAGGCACGTGACCGATGTCCATAAGTGTTGGTAAATGCCCATAAATGTTATTGTTGTTACAGGATGAGATTCACAAGTCATTGGTCGATACTTCTGAGGTTGAAGTTAGTTTTTTTGCAGCGCATGAGTAACATGTGCAATAGCTTCCCCTCTCTCTGCGGCCAGGATTCCTCAGAAAAAAAGAATCTGAAATCTTAGTGGGACATTCCTGGTTAGGTCCGTAATAATAGTATAAGGTCAGTAATAATAATGATTAATCCACATTGCAGTATATGAAATAAATTTAATATATTTTTCATGTATATTTATTTTCCCATATTAGATTTGTAACTGTCATTGGCCTGTACTCATAAGGTCTAAGTTATTTTTTTTTTATATGCATTTCTTTCCTTTGGGTTATTTTGTGCTTATTTTCTTTGTGTTGCTCCACTTGGACGATGAACTTGGACGATGAACTTGCTTTAGTCCCTCATGATGCGATGTGGTCTTGAACGCACACACGCTCTTCAGAGGACTTGTTTTGAAACTCAGGAAGTTTGTTTTGCGCTGCAGAAGTAGCCGTGCGGTTCGCTTCTTACGCGCAGCTGATTGGCCAAACAAACAAAAGAACAAAATAGCCTGAATGTCCAGAGATGAGTCAGAACTGGATCTGCGCTCACACCCAAAACAAAACACTAGAATTTGCTAAAAAGACTTTTTTGAAGCGAGCAATACAGAAACATGGAGTAGCTACGTCATCCAATCCATCCAATCCACTTTATTTCCAAAGTGCTGCACAAAAAAGTATAAAATAAATAAAAACGTATCCTTAGCTTCACCAAGTATAAAGGAATAAAAATATATAAAACAGATTAAAACCATAAATAGAAATGAAATTAAATAAAATAAAAACACAGAGGACCACACAACTCACGCAGTGTTAAAAGCCAAAGAGTAAAAGTGGGTCTTAAGACGAGACTTAAAACACTCTACTGTGGGGGCCGTCCGGACATGGAGGGAAAGAGCGTTCCAGAGCTTAGGGCCGACCACAGAGAAGGCTCTGTCCCCCCGGGTTTTAAGTCTCGCGTTAGGGACCACGAGCTGGAGCTGGCTCTCGGACCTCAGGGCGCGCGCAGGAGTGTAAATTTGGATGAGGTCCGAGATGTAATTAGGGGCTTGTCCATGCAAAGATTTAAAAACGAACAGTAAAATTTAAAAATCGATTCTAAAATGAACAGGGATCCAGAGCAAAGACGCGAGTACAGGGATGATGTGTTCGCGCTTTCTGGCCCCCGTTAAAAGTCGTGCTGCTGCGTTCTGGACCAACTGCAACTGGGAGAGGGTTTTCTGATTGACACCAGCATAAAGTGCGTTAAAGTATTCCAGACGACTGGAAATAAAAGCATGCACAACCTGTTCTAACAAGTTAAAAGATAAGAATGGCTTCACTTTTGATAAAAGCCAAAGATGATAAAAACATGATTTTAAAACGCCATTAACTTGTTTGTCAAATTTAAAATCACTGTCTATAGTGACGCCAAGGCTGGTGACTTTGGATTGCACATAATTTCCTAGTGGTCCCAAGTCAGTAAGGGCCGGTCCAAATGTTAAAATTTTCGTTTTGCCCTCATTCATTATTAAAACATTCTGGGCTAACCAAGCCTTGACGTCACATAGACAGTTGAGCAAGGGTGTCAGGGGGGCATGGCCTCTCGAAATTGGCATATAAGTTTGGCAATCATCTGCATAAAAGTGATAGGACACTCCGTGTCTGTTAAAAATCTCCCCAAGTGGGAGGAGATAGAGTGCAAAAAGGATAGGTCCCAAGATAGATCCTTGAGGGACACCACAATAAAGTGAAGCAGAAGAAGATGTGGCATCCCCCAGCCTGACTGAGAAAGACCTCTCCGACAGGTAGGACCTGAACCACTCCAAAGCAGTTCCCCTGACGCCCACACAATCTCTCAGGCGGTCTAAAAGAATTGTGTGGTCAACAGTGTCAAAAGCAGCAGTAAGATCTAAAAGCACTAAAATGGTGGAGCCTCCAGAATCAGTCAATAGCAAATCATTAAATCATTAAAGCAAATCATTAAAAACCTTTAAAAGTGCAGATTCAGTACTGTGCAAAGTTTTATATCCAGACTGAAATTGCTGTTTTCATTTAAAAAAGGTTGCAGTTGTGCCAAAACACATTTCTCCAATATTTTATTCATATTCATGACCTCAACTAATACATTCTGCAAATATAACAAACAATTAGACATTTCTGGGAGATAAAATGCTTTTTGTTGATTTACGTGGATGCGTCCTGAGTGAGGTGGAACTCGGAAAATTAAAATATCCTTCAAAACTTAATTTCTTTTTGTAATCAAACTAATATAAGTAGATGTATCACATGCGAGATAAAACAATTCAGATTAAGACATCCTATATTCGTCCCACTGTGGGGACATTTCAGTGTTGCATCACTAATTACCAAAAGTATAAAATCTCTATGTTTATCATAATGAGTACCAAAACCCTGACTTTAGAATAGTATAAAACAGAATAGAATCTCTACCTTTGGATAAAGCAGTAAAAAATGCAAGGTGGCATATGCAAAGCCTTTGTTTGTTAATAATGTTGATGATTGTTATAATGGAGTCTCTCATATATTAGTTTCACATTGTAAGTTAAATTATAGGAGTAAATAGACTTTTGAGTTATATTTTGATTGTCCAAGTTTCACCTGTATACAGTATAGGCCCATGGTTCAGATTTGGCAGCACTTAAAACCCATTGAGAAAAGTTTTTTGAATGTCTGATATTGATGTTTATAGATGTTTTATTAACACTTGTGAAACAGTTATTATTCATTCCAACTCAATGGAACAGCGGGACATGCGTGATATATTTTGGAGACACATACCACTGCTGTAGTGCGAAGGACCGTCTTTATTAAAAGACTTCACACTGATATGTAAAATAACAGTCTTCGCTCTCTTGATTTCATTTTCCAGGGTCAAAAAGGCTGAGGAATGCTTAAAACAGGCCAAAGAGAAGGCTTCCTACAACGTGAAACCCAAACACGCAACTGGAATAGTACGTTCTGTTTTTCTTTTTTTTTTACGGCCACCATTTAAAACCTCATTTCCACCACTACCTGTTCAGCCTTTACGTTTCCCCTGACGCAAATTGTCTCGTAACCCTGGAGAGCCATTCCACATTACCGCCACCTTGCCTCTCCACACCGTTCCAGCTTCGCCAGCGCTCGAAATAATCCAGATGTGTTGCTTTTGTTTGTCTCGCAGAAAGCCAAGTTGGGCCAGAAGATCTGACGCGGGAAGGTGGAAAATCATCATCAAGCATCCTTTCGCACTTGCGCTGTTTAGACAATCTCGACACGAGCCATACGTCAATTTGACAACATTTATTTACCCCGAGTGTTTGTTTTCAATTGATTTAGGGCCGCTGTTTATTGTGAGCGAGCCCAAAGTGGATCTAATGTTGATACTGAAGTGAAAAAGTACGCTCGCTTTAGTGTTCTTTGATAGCGACCCTGTAATTCCAATGAAATATGCCTACCACAGGACGCCGTTAAGCTGACAGGATTTACTCAAGTCCTGCACAGATCAAAATGGCTCCAGAAGCACTCTCGGGTTCGTTATATACAGAGCTATTTTAGTGTGTTGTATGTTTACATCTCTGCGGAAGAGAAGCACAGCCGTCTGAAATATTGTGATGTGGTGAGAAGAGATCACAGAGCCATACATGAAGTGCCTTATCAAGCGGGCAGTGGTCTAAAGACTTATGCACTTATGGGACCTATACATTCAGTAAAAGTCATTTGTGTTTGCAGCCTTCTGTTCCCTTGTGACTACTTATATATTTGTCAAAGTGTTGTAATTTTTTGATAAACGATAATATCTTGCTTACATAAAGGTTACCGTGTAGTCTTTATCTTCTGCTTGCCTGTACAAACCATATTCTTAAACATGTGACCACCTTGTGCAATACTTTCCAAATGTATCACAATTAAAACATATTTATGACAAAAACTGAATACATTTTCATTTTATTGTGAGTTCATTTTTGATGCATGGTTTCTGGGGATCAGAGAACATAGCAGGACAGTGTGTTAGTGGTGAGCTCTCTCGCGCCTCCTCTCGCCTCCCTGGGCTTGATTCCATCTTCAGACAAGGCCTTTCTGAGTTTGCATGTTCTCCCTGTGTCTGTGTATGGTTTCCTTTGGGTACTCCAATTTCCCTTGTCACTAAAACATGTACAATTGCCCCCCTCTCTCTGGAGCCAGGACTGCCCTGAAAGAGACTTTCCTTAAATAAAGGTTAAAAATAATAATAATATTAATAATACTAAATCCACATTGCAGTATATGAAATAGATTTAATATATTTTACATATATATTTATACTCTCACATAAGATTTGTAACTGCATTCTCACCTCCGTCTCGCATTGACATTTCAGCTTCTTACATGTTCACCAGTTGCGCGCAGCAGAAGTTTATTTATACTCAAAAACATTTTCTGGAAAATGCTGCAACTGGGTGTAAACAAAAGGAAATAATAGCAAAAGTCTTCAAAGTACAAGTGAATTGGTTTCTTTCCATGTTGTAATCTCATAAAGACTGTAATAACATCAGACTTCAGAGTTCATCTTCATAACATGAGTGTTCATTCGTCTCCTCTCTCTGAGGGACAAAGAGCGCCGCAGTCCATGCTCTGGTTCAGGAGGTGTGTGTGTCCATTGTCACATGAAGGGATAGTTTGTGTGTCTCAGAGTTTGCCGTGGCTGCTGACCTCCACAGACATACAGCGACACTGCTTGACCCGCTGCACCTTGCGGTGCCTGAATGGGGGCTGCAGGTCGGGACAGTCCAGCTGCACTGTGAGCTGTGTGATGCGCTGAGGCCGACAGAAGGAGCACGACTGGAAGGGCTCCTGCAGTTTGGAGTGCTGCTTCCTCCCGGAGCCCGAGCCCGAGCTGGGGCCCATGTGCCGGGGGATGTAGAAGGAGTTGCACTGGCCGTAGCAGAAGCGGTTGACCACAGTGCGGCTCAGGCAGCCCTCTTCACTGATGGTCTGCCTCAGAGGCTGGGTCTTGCACCAGTCCCTGCGCAGGTATCTCCTCTCGGTCACCACCAGGGCCTCTCTGCTGGAGGACAGCACCTCGGGCTTCTTCTGCAGCAGGCGATGGCGCTCTGAGGACAGGTTTCCTTTGTTCTTGTAGGGAGACGGGATGGAGCCCTGTGGGCGAGACTTCCTGCTGTCTGCTGTGATGCAGAGGACCCCCGCTAGCAGCACAGGAAGAGTGATTCTCCACAGCATTCTGAAAAAAAAAACAGTCCAATGTGAACTCACATTTACATTTGCTCAAACACATTTCACTAGAACAGTCTTATAAGCCCAAACATATGATTTTCATTCCATATCATGTTGTTCTATGTGGAGCTGGTGCTCAGTGTGTAGCCTCAGACATCATGAGGAAATGAATCCATCAGCAGGGCCTTCATTTGTCAGCATCTCTGCGTCATTACCTTTATTTGCTTTCCTCTCAGCTACGCAACTCTTTCAAAAATAAACAAAACCTGCCATCAAAGGATACATTTAAACAGCCATAACGAGGAGGGGAAGTTGATTTTATTGGTCCCGTCGCCGGGTAAAATAATTAGGGCTTTGCTTACTTTAGTCATGAACTATGCCACAGATATGTAAACAGACATTAGAGGGCCATCTGCATGTTATTAGGGAGAGCAGGGGGTGTACAGTCGCCCTCCACAGTCCACTCCACACTCTTTAGTGATAGAGCAAAGTGAACTGCTAATGACCCGTAGTGACCATGAAAGCCACAGCCTTTGTGTCCACAGAGATGCACACAAGAGATTTTTCAGCGCTCTGCAAGCGTCAGTGGGTCTGCGCGGGCCTTCTGTGTTTGTGCCAACACATATTTGACCATCACTCAAGCATCTTTTCAGCAGATGTTGCTCCTGACAAGCATTGCATGACATCAAGAAAATCTGACAGAGAAGCAGAGTGCCTCAAGGCCATTGGCTGCTCCTCTTTGCTGTGAAAAATTGTCTGGTCTCTTTCTTCCTCAACTTGCACCTCAGTCTGACATGGAACAAACCACTTTGTCCTAATCCGTTTGGTTTAGTGCCTTCGTCTGTCCTTGAGCCTTGCGCTGCGTCCGGATATCACACACTGCTGTTGTGTGCATGCCATACAGCCAGAAAGGAATCAGAGAAATATTGCTTTATTTACTTTTTAATCATTGGAGTATTCATTCTTTTGTTGTTGTTTCAATTGTGTTGATCTGAGTAATGCATTGTTACTGGGAGCAGGCTTCCAGCTTCATAAACCTAATCCATACGGCCTCCTGCTTATGAACTTCACAATAAAGCCTTCATCTTTCTTCATGGGGAATATTGAATTGTCATGGATTCATCAAAATTGCTGGAAATCTCAAACTGCTGGGATTTCTCTCCTCTCCTGCCAGCTACAGTCCTTCCAACTTCCAATCTTTCACCTCATCTCCACCGCAACAGCAACCACCAACCTCCTCCTGTTCTTATCTAATCTCGATGTCCAACCTGCAAGCAACAGTAACAGCGGTGATGATCCAGGACACTCAACATTCAACAACATGGACATTTATCAACACTTATGAACCAATACCAATGTGATTTTGAACTGCTGATTCTCTGATCTGTGTTGGCGAATTCAACGGTTTTGTAAAGTCCTCAGAGGTAACTACTGTTGGGATTTAGGGCTATACAAGAATAAATTTAATTAATAATTGTGACTGCTACACTGTCGACAACGCTCGGCTGCCACCATCAACTCCCTCATTCTTTGCTTTTGGACATCTGCTCAAGCCATAAATTATCTGCCATAAATCGACCCATTAGCGATCTCTTCTTTTCGGAAAAACACCCGTGACCCTTGAACCAACCATCAGAATGGAACATGCCTGACCACCACTTTGAACGTTTTGGACATGCTTGCTTACACACACGTCAGCTGAGGTTAGAACAACCAACCCTGACCCTCCTGCCGGTCCCTCCAGCCGCCCCCCGCCTCCTGAGGTCACAACCCGACTACATCCACACTCCTTCTCGCTCACCCACTACCACACTTTCCCATTCGTCTTGGGCTCTTTGCTTTTGCTTCTGTCTGCTGTGTTTTTTTCTTTTTTGCCATGGATATTTTGGAGCGGAGGAAGCACCATGTTGGGCCTGCCTCTGGGACCCTCCAGGGAAGACTTGACTGATTGTGTATATAAGCATGTGATAGATGGCCTATGGATAGCCTCTCTCCTCCTCTTCCCCTCAGCATAAGCAGGATCCTAGTGCCTTTTGCCAAGCCTTCTCTCATCCATCTCTGCCCTGAGACAAATTGCGGTTTGAGGTTTTTTTGGGGGGGACTAAGAGAGGGGGTAGTTGAGTTTGTTGGAGGTTGGGGGATAGTGAGGTTGGGGATAATGATAGTGCACTGATGACCTGCTGGGAGCCTATAGCCTGTATGTATCTTTTCCCCTTGTCAGTGTTTCATCCTTATTCCTTGCCATTTGTCTTCATTCGCCTTAGGATCTGTCCGTCTTTGGTCAACAAAGCACTAATCATCATATCATCTCGCAGACGGAAGGAGACGGTGGTTTCGTTCGCACTAATACTGTCCACCAACCCACTGTTATGTTTCAGCACAACCACAAATACTTGACGGTTACACGCCGGTGATCTGGAACAGACCTCGGTTCCAAAATTCAGACCTCTGAAGAAATCACCCATGCCAGTAAGTGCTGAGCAAGAAAACAACTGTTATTATCAATGGGAAATGGTTGTGTTATGTTTTGCTCAATCCCATGTTTTATGGCCGAGTCACTTTTTTCGCCTGAGTAGCAATTGTTCCATTTTCAAACAAGGGATAATGATAGTGTAAATGTTCTAGTGTCTGTTTCCAGAGATGGATGACTGTAAAATGGTCCTGACATACTTAAATGCTGTTAATAATAATAATAACAAGATAGAAAGAAAAGCTTGTTGTGCAATATTTGGACCATAATCTCGCCACTTCTATAAAATTCTGTGATCATTAGAGCGATGGGGTCTTGCCCAAGGGCACATCAACAATTAACCATCATTGATAGTTCTCTCAACAGAAAATGGAAAGAAATGTGGTTCTCGCTCTCGCCTCTCAGCAAGAAGGGTCTGGGTTTGATGCCTGGGACTTTTATGAAAAGAGTCACCTCCTGAAAAGGTTAGGGTTAGGGTTAGGATTTAATGAAATGCTTAGCTAAGGACAAATATAGGCAACGGACGGGCAACGAGTGGGAAAAGCACAGGGTACAAATACTCAGGGAGACTCAGGTCAATAAAATCAGAGCACGTTTTACAGACCAACGTCACACAAGATGCTTCACAATGTTGTTGTATCGGTGATTCCCATTCTCTCCATACGGTGATGACAGAATCCATCATCACATTCATACCAATTGTACATGTTTTTGATGGAGCACCCAGGGGAAAGCTTCGCAGACACGGAGAGAACATGCAAACATCTCGCTCCGGAGGTGGAACTGAAGACCTGGACCTTCTTGCAGCGGAGCACAAGCGCTAATCACTGCACCGTGCTGCCATGAAGATTCTGGAATCTCTCCGGGACTTTTCTGGTGAAATAAAACGGGAACTGACCAAAATGACGTGATGTTTTTGCGGCACTATGGGGCGGGTTCTTCTCTGGGGAGATAGTATCGGATTTCCTGGTGTCATGGTGTGGATATTTAGTGGTGATGATCCAAGACACTCAACATTCAACAACATTTATGGACTTTTATCAACATTTATGGACATTGGTCATCTGCCCCTGATGGACCAATACCAATGTGTTTTCTGTTCTATTTTTTTCTTGTTTGATTCTCGGATCTGTGTTGGCAAATTCAACGGTTGTGTAAAGTCCTCCAAGACAACTGTTGTGATTTGGGGCTATACAAGAATAAATTGAGTTGAAATCAATGGAATTGACTTTTGAACTTGTTGTCTTGCCTTTTAAAGTTACCCCTCCTGCCCCATTGATGTGTTTCCCCCGCTCTGATGTGATTGAGTCTCCCTGTGTATCTATATTTGACCTTGGCTTAGTATTTCATGAAATTAAGACTGCATTTTCAGCCCTGCTTTTTAAATTCCTATTTTGTTCATTCCACCCTCATGACAGCCTGGTATGCTCCACATTATGGCTTTTATTTTTTTTACATATCTACACAAACCAGGTGGCACACCCAGGCCAAACACTCTGCAAGATCTGTGCAGAGGCAAGCCCGCTCACCGCACATTCCGCACAGTACTCAATAACAAGCACCACAAAATAACTGTCTGGTGCAATGTAAATACAGACTTACTGCCAAATTCGAGAAAAAAAAAAAAAAAAAGTATTGAAGGAAATCCTCTTAATGAACCCTAATGGCTGGAGTCTTGATTAAACGCAGTGGCAAATCTTTAAACGGCTAATTTTTTTCTCTCAAACTACGATGATTACACATTAGCATGTCCTTTCTGCTCGACGATGTTATTCTAAAGTCGTGCGTTTCCCTCCCATCTCTCCCCGCTGCTCCTATAAGCCATGTGAAATGTCTTCCCAGCACGCCTCCATCAAAGGCAGGTTAAAACAAACAAAACCTGATGCCTCAATTATCGGTGCGTCACAAAGTCTCACACACAGACCTGTATAAGTGCACTTAATTACAGCCGAACCGCATTTAATTCAGCGTGTAGCTCCAACTCACATTAAGTCCATGACCACACGCACACACCGAGAACACAGGGAGGAAAAAAGGGACTAAATCAGATGTTTTCACTGCAGACCAATTACAGCGGGAGAAACCATGTCATTATCAGTGTTTGCGGATTGCCTTTTTCCCAAACTTTACTGGCTCATTAACAGTTTAAAGCCGGTAAGAGGTGGGGGTTCAATGCCGACAACCGAATGGCCAAAACTCTCTCCCTAAGGCACTCCTGGACAGCCATTTTTCACAACGCTCAATCCATCTTGATAATGAGTGGCACCAGATAGCAGCAGGAATGTAAAGTTGACTGTCGCGGACACAGAGGCTGCACTTGGGGGTGAAGGGTAATTAGAGATGGCTTGATGGAGCTGTGTACTAGATCAGGTGATAATCCCGGCCCAGCGGTTTACAAACAGAAGTCATTTACCATTTCAAGGGCCACCGTGGGACTTGAGGAAACGGCTGTGGTCAGATAGGCTTGTAAATGGCAGATGTTTTTCAGTCTGTTTTGGTTGGGATGTACTGTAGGTTACAGCAGCGGTGAGACTTTAAGAAAACTATTGGCCAGTCTGGTCAAATAAAAGGAATGGCTTTGGAAAGTATTGGTTACAAAGAGATAAATATGATGAATATTAATGGGAAAAGGCAAACCAAGGAACAAAGACTTTGGTATTTGCTTAAGCCAAGACATACAAGAAGTTACGCAATGGCCTTACGTTCATGTTAAAGCAGCGCGTTGATGGATGGGACAGAGTTTACACAGGCTTGGGGCTGTATGTTCGGTTCTATGCTTATGGAGCAGCCCAGCAAGGTTACTGAGGAGAAGGTAAGGTATCCGGAAAGTGGCCACAAAACATGGAATTAAATTATGTCTATGAATTTATAAGAATTTTACATGCATATTAGATTAAGAGATGCTTTTTTTGTCCCACAGTGAAATTTCAGTGTTGCATCACAAGTTACAGAACAGTAAGAATGAGGAGCACACAGCACAAGATACATGAATTATAACTCTATACTAAACCATTGTGCTAAACTGAATATTGCTCTTATAATTGGATTTTTCAAAAACCCATAGTAGACTGCAAAGCGGGACTCTGGATTTGAAGACATATGGAAAGTGCTTGGAATAGAGCCACTGCTCCACACAATGGAAATCAAAATTAAACAACACATTTCAACCTTGCATCACCTGGCTGCTGGTGACCTGATTACCGCAGTATAACAACTTACTTGATTATTTATGATTTGAATCTCTGTCTCTATCTTGTTTTGTTCAGCACTTTGAATGAATTGTGCTATACAAATAAGCAGGGCTATGGAGCGCACTTCCATTTGATTTGTCTTTGCTTGTACCATGTCATATGTACAGATTGGTAGAAGAGGCAGATCTAGCCAGAACATTAGGTCTATGCCGGTACTTGATAAAATAATGAATCATTAAAGAACATATGGGACAGTGTGTTACTGTGCATACATTCTTTTGGTCTCTCTTCTACAGCAACACAACAGTGCATTCTGGGTCCTTGGCCTCAGTGGCAGCGGGGGATTCAGCTGTCAGGAGGGAGCACGTCATACGGCCTTATCAAACACACGTTTGGCTGTCGTTAGGGGATTACCGCGTGGCGTTTGTGTTGCTTAAGAAACTGTAATGTGTCTGTGTGCGCAAAATCCTCTTTGACATCAGTCGGGCCTGTACAAGGAGGTGCAGTCACCGCACTGTAAGAAGGATCAGAAGGCACACACGTTCAGGTCACTGCACACACACACACACACATACACACATGCATACATTCAAGTTCACACACACATGCGCACACACGCACACAAACACACACATACACATACTGTATGCACACACATACATACACAAACACACGCACACACACACACATACAAGCGCATACGTTCAAGTACACACGCACACATGCTCTTTTACACTTATAAGCGCACACACTCACGCACACACAGACACACACACACATGCACACATTAAAGTACACACACACATAAAGGCAAATACACTCTCGCACACATACATACACACACGGTACAGGCGGCACGGTGGCTGAGTGGATAGCACTCTTGCCTCTCAGCAAGAAGGCCCTGGGTTCGAATCCCGGTTGGACCAGGGCCTTTCTGAGTGGAGTTTGCATGTTCTCCCCATGTCTGCGTAGGTTTCCTCCGGGTGCTCCGGTTTCCCCTACCACTAAAAATATGTACAATAGGTCTGGCATGTGCCTCCTGTACTGGCACCCCCACTCCCAAAAATAGCAATTGTAAACTGCTTTGAGACTGCGATGTGCAGTGAAAAGGCGGTATATAAATAAAGATTACAATAAAGATTACGATTACAATTACACATACATAAGCACAGACTCACAGCACACAGCACTTTCTATACAGCAACCTGGCCTCCCACAAACGTTTCCCTACATTTTTCATATATCTCTCTCTGTTATTTTGTTTCCATCACAAATTGTAGTCGACTTCTATCTCTAGAGAAAGTTTCAGGTGTCCATCTTTGTTTTCCAAAAAAGCCTACATAGTGAATAATTTTTTCTAGTTTTTTTAACCTATTGGGCACCGAGTAACTCTTCACACTGAGAGATCACCTCAATGTTAGATATTGTTTATCTCTCAGGAATTTTCTCTATATGTTTGATTTTATGGATCGAATTTTACCAAAATCCTCCTTACTGTAAACAGGCTCACCTCTCCTTGGTCTCACAAAACCTTTTAAAGCAAGTAAACATTGTTAAACTCCTCAAAGAACATGAGGATGATAGAAGTTCAGAAAATAATATCAAATCTATTCTATTTCTGTAATACTAAAATTAGTATTAAAAGCCACCACACGTTACAATGGAGAATAGCCGGAGATTTGTGCTGTTTTTCAATAGAATTTTCTATTCATTACAATTGTATTTAATATTTCATAACATTTAATAGTAAGTAGTATTTTAACTACACACAATTCCTTTAAAAACCACAAAAACCACTAAAACTTCAGACCATCCATCATCATGTCGCCTGTTTTTTTTCTCCTGCTGTAAAAACCTAATCTGGGCCTGTCATTGCTGACTAATTTTCCCACTCCCGATGCTAATTCCTTAAACTTTTGTCTCTCTAATTATAGTCATTTCGGAGGCACTTTATCCTCACCTTCAAGGCCTGTGTTTTGCTCCTGCTCCACTGGGAACAAACTGGCAAAAATAGCAATATCTCTTCAATTACTGTTGCTGGATTTACGTGGCTTTCTGCTTACTCACTCGCACTCACTGACTCGCAGAGCTCGGCCAAGAGTTGAGTTTGGAAGTGTTTGGTCTATGCCGGTGACGTTAAACTGGACACAAAAATACATCTATGTCTTTGTGATTAATACGTGTGGTTTGACTCGACAGAAAGATTGTCTTGTAAAAAAAGTAAAATGTTGAGAACAAAAAAAAGCCACACTCACTTCTTCTTACAGTCATAGAAAACTTCTGAAAACGTTGTAATGTTTTGCTGCTGCGAGCTGATTGGCTGAGTGAGGGTGGTCCTCTCTGCCGGACTTTTTTGTATGTCTGATAAAGCTGAAGTAAAAATGTGACAGGGGCCAAAAAATGCAAGTATGTGAAACCTATAGGCATTGACTCAATCTAGGAAAGGGGTGTCCAACCTTTTTCAATCAGAGAGCTACTTTTATGCAACAAAAGAGGCAGAGAGCTACTTTTTTAGCAATCATAAAAAATCTAGGTGAAAATTACGACAAAACATAGAGAACATATACATATACCATAATACTGTAAACCCCTATATTTATACTTATAGTAGATACCTAATGACTCAAAATGTATTAATTCAAGATCATTTGTTAAATTCTAAATCCTTTGGGGAGCTACCTGAAAGGAGCTGGTGAGCTACTGGTAGCTCCCGAGCCACAGGTTGGAGACCCCAGATCTAGGATTACTGTACTGTGATTATTTATGATGTCAATGCCTTGTGTGATTATAATGTTCAATATTTTTGTTTTGTTAAGCACTGTGAGTTGTTTTGTGTATTAACTGTGCTACACAAAAAAACTTACCTTGCCTTGCCTGATCACAAATCTCCATCTTTATGAATTGAAATAGTGTCTATAGCGACAGAACAGGAGACTAAACTAGACAGTAAAAACTAAACAACAGTATAACTCCCTACAGTACTATGTGTTCTTGTTATGATTATTCATATTGTACTTACTGGAATTCTCTAATCAACCAGTATATATTCTCAGTTGTCTGCACACTGGCTTGCACTATCTTTCACCCAATTTATATACTTTTCTTATTTCCTTTTCCACTTGAGTTTAAACACTTTCAAACTTGATGCAGTAGAAAAACCCAGTCAAAACTTTTCAACTCGATGAAAAAAGTTGGTTACCTGCCAGTGGAGTGTGACAGAGGCGCGATGAGGATGCTCCTAGGCATGACTGTCCACCTTCACTGGTCCTCGCGTCCGCTTCCAGGTTGAGGTTTCCATGGCAACATAATAGGTATGGTATCCTCAGTCTCCCTGGTGCTTCAGCTGTCAAAAAACTGGCGTCCTGAGTCCTCTGTCCTGTCCTTTCCTCTAAAACCTGATGTCCTGGACTAGACTCACTTTGACGGCATAAGTTCTGTGTGTGAGAGTGTTTGGAACTGTTCTGCCTTATTGTGCAGCGTACACCAGCCCCTTCCCTCCTCAAGACTGGGAGGCCGCTCTCCTATTGGCCCTGGCTATTGTGTGAATCAAACCAAGCCTCACTTCTCTCACTTTCTCCCCTTTCCGTCCCTCCTCTGCCTTCTCTTGTTGCCATTATCTTTTTTATGCACCATCCCAACCATCCATCAGGAACCAGGCCCTATCAAAATGACAATGCTTTTGTTCTCGGGCCCAGTCTCCAAGTGTCTGAGTGATGGGTAAGAACAATAAAGGGCACTTGTGTTGGAAAACAGTCTGCTTTTCTATCACTTTAAAGCCCTCTCTTGTTGGCGTCTAAACCACGGTGCATTAAAACCATCATATAGGCAGCCAGCTTTGGAATCAGAGAGGTCTGCGCAAACCATAAATCATTGTCATGCAGAATTGTCTTTGAAAGACCAGCATTCCTCAGCACAGTAATCATGTTAGGCTTTGTGGATGTTCCAAAGCTGAGCACGGCAGCTCTGAGGCGGCTCGTCACCTGTGGACAGAAGAGCTGAGGCCTTCACTGAACACAGGACAACCGCAAATGATGAGTGCAAACAGAGAGATGCAGACGGTGATGACCACAGAGATGACACACACACATACATGACAGACAGCGTTGTGCCTGTGCTGCTGCTGTCATGGGTGAGAGGTGGTGGGAAATGCCTCCCCCTAGTGGCGCATGATGGAAGTGTATAACAGCTGGAACATAGGTGAAACACGTGAAGCCTTTAGTCCACGTATACCACTATCATACCTCAACAGAAATGCATTTCATATGACCCAAAGCTACCTAACCTGCTAGAGATTAAGATAAAATCTTCTGTTAAATGTATAAATAAAAAATTATTTTGATTAGTTAGAATATACATGCCAATAAAATGCAAGGTTATTAATGTTAATCGGACTAAATGATGCAGTTAGGTGATATAGAGTATATTACAAGGAAGAGGCTGTACAGAACAAAAAAAAGGTTATCGTGTCCTGTAGTGTTTTTCAACCAGTGTGCCATGGCACGTTGGTGTGCCTTGAGATATGTATTGTTGTGCCTTGGAAATCGTCCCACATCACCTGCCAGTTATTTAGAAATATGTTTTTGTTCTTGTTTGATTTGCTTCATAATACACATTGATGAGAATGACTTTACTTTGTTAATAAAGGCTGTAGAGTTTCAATGTTCTATGAAATTCAGTTGGTGGTGTGTCACAGGATTTTTTTTGCAATGACAAAGGTGTGCCACGGCTCAAAAAGGTTGGGGAATACCGGTGTACAAAATCTTCTTTCCTCTGTGTTTTTCTGTGTTTTTTTATTTTATTGTGCACACTGGGTATTTATTTTTTCTCAAATTTTCCAATGTGTTTTATTAACAGCAATTGACTGACTCTGACTCCAATCAATATCTAATTGGTTCAATATACAGTACGTGTTTAGGGTCTATTTCCCCCAGCATTTCATGAGAACAATTCTGTAAACTTTAAGTGCAGTTGTAACAATCGAGGAACAATTCTTTTGCAGAGCTCCTGTCTGATTATGTGTTTCTTATTGTTTCAACTGTAACAAAGCAAACATTTGTTACTGGTGTCAAAAGATTCCCACCAGAAACAACTCCCTTTTCATTTGGTTCCCAGGGTCAGACCAAGGCAGAGAATGACAAAGGGTTTTTATTATATATTTGTTTGTGTTATTTTAGGCTTTCATGCAAATGTGTGTAATTTCATTGTTTGGAAGAATAAGTTCTTGTCAATGATGCCTTTGTTAAAATGGATGTGAACGTGTGTTGGTTGGTAGAAAAAGGTGTCTGTATCATTACTTCCTATTCTGCTGTTAGAGAAGACACTGCTCCTGAGCCTCCATTTCTCACAATGCACATTAAAGGATTCCAGCAGATTAGTATAAAACAATTAAACTTTAACCATCAGTGCACCTCCTGAAGTCCAGCCTTTGATTAGACCTCAGCTGTCAATGAGAGCACATAAGAATAAGGTCAGTTCTTACCAAAGGAAGTCATGATTATGGGGTAATACCTTCTAAATTCCCTTCATTGGTATTTTACAAGTCACAGGTGGAAAGGAGAATCTCATGGATGGATGGATGGATGGATGAACTGTGCTATATACAGAGGGGCAAAAAAGTATTTAGTCAGCCACTGATTGTGCAAGTTCTCCCACTTAAAATAATGACAGAGGTATGTAATTTTCATCATAGGTACACTTCAACTGTGTGAGACAGAATGTGAAAAAAATATCCAGGAATTCACATTGTAGGATTTTTAAAGAATGTATTTGTAAATAATGGTGGAAAATAAGTATTTGGTCAATAACAAAAATTCAACTCAATTCTTAGTATTATAACCTTTGTTGACTATAACAGAGGTCAAGCGATTACTATAGGTCTTTACCAGGTTTGCACACACAGTAGCTGGTATTTAGGCCCATTCCTCCCTGCAGATCTTCTATCAACTCCCTCCAGTCTGGAGACTGGCTAGGCCACTCCAGGACTTTCAAATGCTTCTTACGGAGCCACTCCTTCGTTGCCCGGGCGGTGTGTTTGGGATCATTGTCATGCTGGAAGACCCAGCCACGTTTCATCTTCAAAGCTCTCACTGATGGAAGGAGGTTTTGGCTCAAAATCTCACGATACATTGGCCCCATTCATTCTTTCCTTAACAGGGATCAGTCGTCCTGTCCCCTTAGCAGAAAAACAGCCCCAAAGCATGACGTTTCCACCCCCATGCTTCACAGTAGGTATGGTGTTCTTGGGATGCAACTCAGTATTCTTCTTCCTCCAAACACGACGAGTTGAGTTTATACCAAACAGTTCTACTTTGGTTTCATCTGACCACATGACATTCTCCCAATCCTCTGCTGTATCATCCATGTGCTCTCTGGCAAACTTCAGACGGGCCTGGACATGCCCTGGCTTCAGCAGGGGGACACGTCTGGCACTGCAGGATTTGATTCCCTGTCGTGTTACTGATGGTAACCTTTGTTACTTTGGTCCCAGCTCTCTGCAGGTCATTCACCAGGTCCCCCCGTGTGGTTCTGGGATTTTTGATCACCGTTTTCATGATCATCAGTGGTCTTGTATGTCTTCCATTTTCTGATAATTGCTCCCACAGTTGATTTGTTCACACCAAGCTGCTTGCCTATTGTAGATTCACTCTTCCCAGTCTGGTGCAGGTCTACAATTCTATCCTGGTGTCCTTCGACAGCTCTTTGGTCTTGGCCATAGTGGAGTTTGGAGTCTGACTGTTTGAGGCTGTGGACAGGTGTCTTTTATACAGATAACCAGTTCAAACAGGTGCCATTGATACAGGTAACGAGTGGAGGACAGAAGAGCTTCTTAAAGAAGAAGTTACAGGTCTGTGAGAGCCAGAGATCTTCCTTGTTTGAAGTGACCAAATACTTATTTTCCACCATAATTTACAAATACATTCTTTAAAAATCCTACAATGTGAATTCCTGGATTTTTTATTCACATTCTGTCTCACAGTTGATGTGTACCTATGATGAAAATTACAGACCTCTGTCATTATTTTAAGTGGGAGAACTTGCACAATTGGTGGCTGACTAAATACTTTTTTTCCCCACTGTAAATCACCTGCGTTGCCTCATCTTGGGAAAATATAGAGCATTTGTATCTTTTAATTGGCTGACTTCTAACATTTTAGTACATTTTAACAGTATTTGACCAAAGATTCACGCCACACCACAGTAACAGATAGAGGGCCAACTTTAATAATACAAGTAAGTAAAAGTGTTTTGTTTTTTTAAATATGGTATAAAAATAAATGCAGGAGAATAACAAAGAATCATGTTTACATAAGAGACAGGAGACAGATCTTTGCTGTATTTGAAATGTGACCTTACAAGTGCAATGGAAATCATAGCTGCTAATTATTGTAGTGCAAGAAAAGAATGCAAAGCAAAGTAAATGCACAATAAATAAATATAAGAATAATCATAATATATATGTTTATATATATTGTATACATGTATTCATTCTGCACAACACGTCCCATAGCGTGACAACATTTTGGTGACCTCGAATCATTGTATAGTGATGACTTTATTCTTTTTTCTCAATGTTTAATTCCATGTTTTTCCTCTCTGACATCATCTGTTGGAGCTGGAACAGAATGAGGGTCTTAAAAGATCCGTGTGTTCCGATGGAAAGCTGGAACTTGGGATCGGAAGTCCTCGGGTGACATCTCTACTGCCAGTTTTTATTTGTCCGTGTCCTAAAGCAGCCAGAAGAAAACTGGAGGAATACTGGAGATATGGAGGGAGTGACATGCAACCTCCTGTGGACCAGACTCACAGACTCAGGGCCCGGCTCCTGACCAAGGACCACAGCCAACATATGATGGAGACACCACTCTCCTCCCACACACACACACACTCCACACGCACACACTCCACGCATACACACGGACACATACACGCACGCTCACACACACACTCCACATGCATACAGTTGGGCACACACACACACACACAAGCGCGCACTCAGATGCTGTTGACGAAAGCTTGATGGCACATGATTGGGCAGCCTCGTAAATCCTCATGGTTTGACCTGGGAGACAAAAATATCACACATAGGGAGTTTGTTTTCTTGTTGCCAAGCAGGCATTTTGCAACAAATGAAGCCTGCAGAAATTTGAGCACTTTGGCCCGTAGATTTTAATATGTAAGTCATTCTTTCGGGGCTTGTGAAACAGACACAGTGGAGCTCTGACGCTTTATAGAGATAGGAGTACTAAAATCAATAACAGAAATAAATGAAAGAACATTATGTGTAAGAAAAATGTGGGTAAATGTTTGTGGGACGCCAGGTTGCTGAAGAGAGAGAGAAGTGTCCTGGAGAAAGTCTGGGCCTAAAGTGCTTTGTTGTTTTAAATACATCATTTATTCAACCAATGCCTTCTTTAAAGCCTGCCTTTCTCTCCAGTCAGCCCCACATGCACATGGTTTGTGTAAACCAGGGGTCACACACAGAATGGAGATTTATTCACTTGCAGCTTTGATGGTCAGTGGCTTATATGGGCCACTATGGCATGTTATATATCATTTTAAAGGCATTTTCCGAATAAAACAACCATATAATTAAATGTATTCTAAACCCAAAATGAATTAACAAAAAAACAATATATGCCTGGTGTTCATGCAGTCTACAATTTCTTAAGTTTGGTTCCGTTTTGGCACAATCCAAACATCACCAGAAATTCCAATCCACAAATGTATGTATGTGTGTGTGTATTTACTGTTTTTGTTATTGTTATTATTACTCCATTAGTCTCCATCATTAAGTTAATATTCAGACTTTATCACAGCCCATAATGCATAGATTAAACGTAGTGGCCGCACACATGCAGACATCTCTGACTGTTCGAGCACGTAGCGCAGTGAGCCCTGTAAACTGTGAGGCGGAGAACACTCACCTGGAAGCAGCGACCTTCAGAACAAGTTCTTACTTTTCTGTGAAAGAGAGAAAACAAACCCAGTGAATGCATGCATTTCAAACAGATCTATGAAGTAACCGCTGTTTCATTTATGAGCTGAGTATTGTTATTCTTCTCCAAAACACTCAGTATTTCTTATGTACTAATTCCCCCACCGTGACGGAGCGAAAGGTGTGGGAGTGCGTTCTTAAACACAAATATATCCGCTATAATTCTAAATAATACATCATTTTGTGACAGCCTCTGTGCTTTCTCCGCTGCTACAAATCCACATCCCCCACACACATTAGTCCTCTCTGCAAAAAAACAAAAAAAACCATCCAACCGCTAAAGCTACGCTCACAAGTGGGTGGGAATCAGGGGAGATTTAAAAGTTTAGAGATTAGTCTGGTAGCTACCAAAGTCATTTCAACCACATCGTAACAAATATTCATTGCTTGTACAGAAATGAAGCTGGGAAAGCCTGCATTATGAAGAGAGAAGGAGGCTTGTTCCAATTGCATAAAAGATAAAACTGTTATTATGTTCTATTACCTTCTTCTTGGCTTGTAATAGCTCCTGGTAGGCACTGGAACGAATGAAACGACTGTAAGAATCACTCTTCATCAATTTGTAGATATGCTCCTGAAAGAAGAGAGCAAAATGTTAATAAATACAACGACAATTTAAGCAAATCTGAGACGTGTCACATGACTTTATTACATACATTTAGCTCCAGATTTATTGACCAATTAAAATGTAGACATTAGTACTATTTTAACTAAAGTAGGTGGAACAGTGGCTAAGTGGTTAGCAAGAAGGTCCTGGGTTTGATTCCTGAGTGGAACAGGATCTTTCTGTGAGGGGAGCGAGTGTAGGTTTCCTCCAGTTGCTCCAGTTTCCATCTATCCATTTTCTACACCTTAATCCATTTCTGGGTCGGGGGGGTGTCAATCAGAGAGGCCACCCAGCCCCTCACTGATCCTCTGCAGGTTGAGAGTCCACAGGAGGACGGCTGCTCTGTCTGTGAGAGCACAGCCTTGATCTTTCAGCGGGGGCTTCAGGCAAAGCAAAGTGGGGTTAAGTGTTTTGCCCAAGGACACAATGACAGCAGACATCAGTGGGAGTCGGTGGAGTAGGTCTCATGGTGGGCTCGAACCAACAACCTTCAGGCTCAAAGGCCAATGCTCTACCAACTGAGCCACTGTCGCCCCATTGCTCCAGTTTCCCCTACCGCTAAAAGCATGTGCAATGGTCTCTCCCCCTCTCGAGTCAAGACTTTCCTGAAAAAAGATCCTGAAATGTTTGCGGGTCTCTCCTGGTTAAATGACGGTAAACAAATAAATATAATAAAAAACTAGAAAGCAGGAAAACATCTTGTGGTCTCTGATCTTCATGTACAAATGACTGCCGGCACATTGAAGCTAGTTTTGTTCTGGTTAAAAGAAAAGTAGCTGCAGTAAGCTTTTCCATTTTCTTGTTTTTTTGTTTTTTTCCAAAGCTCTGAGGCTTCAAGCTCTGAAAAGTCTGGCTGAGGCTGAACAGACTGAAATGTAAAAACTCTGGCTTGGAGAATCACCAAAGGAGAGTAAGAGAATAAGAAAATGTCTCAGGAGTTGTTACTTGTGATTGTTTCTTGGGTCGGTCATTTCATATTCCAGCTAATACCAAACAAAAGTAAACAATATAATTAATATATAGTATATTTTTCTACATAGCATTTTTAATTTTTTAAGAAGAAAAAAGTCCGGAGCCTCCCCACTCACAAACTGACAGCCTTTTTGTACATTATAATGCATAGAGAAACAGAATATGGAAGGGAGAGATGTATTATTAACTATTAAAAGTGAATGAAAATAGTACAGTAGTATTCACAGTGAAATCAAATGAATTGGAGAACATCCTTTTTGCTTTGTTTCACACTAAACTCCATGAAAACTTGCTATAATTAAATTACAAAGAGCTTAGGTTTTTCCCATTTCAAATAAAAAATGAAATTGCTGCAAAATACACACACAATAATCCCTCTGTTCAACTGTTGCCTTTATTACTTCCACGTCCAGCTCATCCTACGGCTTCAGCACTTAGAATAACCACTTTATTCTGAGCGTCCCAGTTTGTGTGAGATCTGTCCTTACAATTATGTGCTAAAAAACACAAGCCATATTCAGGAAAAGTCATGCGGTCTCCCTGTTCTCACCTGTGCGTCCTCGAAGGCGTACCGTCCGGGGTCTTTGACATTCTGGGTGGTCTTGTCATAGCTCTTGGAGTCCACATTTATGGCGCTGGGGGCCCCTGGGGCCAAGAACTCCTGCCAGATCTCCTGCACCCGCGTGGGGACCTCTCTGATTGGACGCTTCTTTAGCTCTTGGACTGCTAACCAGAACCTGCACAAACCAGCAAGTAATATAGTGCAGCCCGAAAGCAAAAAAGCAGTGGTTTTGAAGGAGTTATTTCCTTATTGCAGATTAGAAAAATGTAACAGTCAAAACAGTACCTGGTCAAAAAGCATATCAATCAATCAAGTTTATTTATAAAGCACAATTCAGGCAGTGCAACCGAAAGTGCTTTACCCAGACATACAATCAGACATATTTACAAACATAAAAAAAATAAAAAGGAAAAAAGGAAAAACAATGAAAGAGAAAAAAAAAAAAAAATTCAGACTGAATGTAAGAATTAAAACTGTATACAAAATTAGATATATACAACTCAGTCATATGCACTGCTAAAAAAAATGGTTTTCAGCTCAGACTAGCTTAGACAATGCTAGAGATGAGGCCTCCTGCATAAACAAAACATAGAGAAATTAGGCAATATTTGCATGATTTAATTCTCTGGCAAAGAAAAAAATTACAGGTGAAACTCTAAAATTATAAAATCGTTCAAAACCCAATTTATTTCTGTAATTCAAAGGAAAATGTGAAACCATTACATCCTACAAAAACTCACTGCATGCCAACTTAGTCTCATTCAGGTTAACAACATGTGAAAGCAGATGTGGTTGTCGTAGTAACCAAAGAGCCGCTGGTAGTAGCAGGTCCTTTCACAAACATCAATAACTAGCATCTTTCCCCCTACGGCTGCACAGACGTTTTTCATACATATCCGACATATTATTACACGGTATATTTGACGGTGTGATTTATGATACGCTGCGTCTACATATAAGCGTGTCTGTGGGAGCAATCCTGTAATTGTGTTTGTGCGCGGTTAATACTCTGCAGTGTTCCTCTTACCATGAATAAACCTATTACCGGAGTATGTCAGCAGCTGAGTTGTACACCGCACAGCTGGACTCCTGAATATTTTAAACAGCTGCCTCACCGCCAGAATGCTGCTTCTTTTTATCTATCTAACTGTGTCGCACTTAACCTGGATGTGAAGCAAGGACAGCACCCGGCAACAGGCGACCGAAGGGAGATGTGTTGGAAAATACGTACATTGTAGTGATTTTAAATAGTCTATGGCAATGAAGCTGGAACATCTTTCATCATCTGTTCCAAACTTGAATAATTTACAGTATGATGTCATCTAAAATTGCATATTTATCCTTTTCCAGTCTAAGCATCTGGGTGAGTGTGGAGAGGTTAGGAAGCATGGTGTTTGTCATAAAGCAGGTGTGAATGCTCCGCGGGGCATGACAGAGTGTGTGTGTGTGTGTGTGTGTGTGTGTGTGTGTGTGTGTGACTAGGGAGCCTTAACATTGTGGGGACAGAGATGATTACGCAGTCACATTTTGCTGGTGGCGATCAAAAATAAAGCTCCCATAAAAACAGTTTCTTTGCCCCGGGTTGCCTCTTTCTCACACACTGAGCCTGATGTGTCCAAATGAAACGCCATTCAAGCCGCCTTTGGAGTCTTCTCTCAGTGGCGTGTTCAGTGTCAACATAACAACCATATAGCAGTCATTTAGACAGCAACAAAAGCAAATCGTTTCATTGATTGTTGCTTACATGTGGGTTAGGTGACGAAGGTTATAAAACTACACACAAGTCGCACAAGGGACAATATTGTGCGTAATGACAGTGTAGCAAGCGTAAGAGTGTAAGAGTCAAGCTATATCAATATGTGTGTGTGTGTGTGTGTGTGTGTGTGCGTGTGTGTCTAATTCCCCATGATAGGGCATGATATATTATGCTATGTACTGCACAGTATCACATTTGTGTTGATATTTTATGTTGATTAATTGATTTGTATTCTGTGTGTTGTGTTGAATGATGGGAGGAGGTTGGGAACAAATAAGCATCTGCTTCATCCAACCCCTTTTCAAACCAGTTTTAGTGTAATATGTGAAATTGTGTTCTGCAGGTTTGAAATAAAGCAAACAAATGATGAAGTTGTCCTTGTAAAAAAGGGTTCACTGTGTTTTTCTCCATAATCTGATTCCTTTGAGTTCTGGGTACAGTGACTTTAGAAGATTTATTTTTGGATGTCAGAAGTTTGTTTTGACCCTGAAGTCTGATTTTTTTTATCTTCCCTATGTTCAAACAACACGGCAACCTTTCTTAATGTTATCCCAGGTCGAGACAGCTAGCATTTCAACACAGGTCAAAAAACACAGGTCTGCGGTATGAAAATGCCTATAGCGGTTTGTTACTTTGTTAAAACAAGTTTCCCCCCAGAATAGTGGACTTATTAGACCACAGTATAGACCAAAACAGAAATATTCCTCTGACCAGCCAAGCAAAAAAATCTCACTACATTTTCCATTATATCTACCCTTTAAGGTGAGAACCAATCTTGGGGAAATAGGTCAGTGTGATGTCCCCGCAAAGAGCAGAAACCTGAGCGTGTGTGTGCGTTCAGAGTGTGTCCGTGGGAGGTCGGGAAAGTGTGAATAAAATCCTCCTCAGTCTGTCATGTGTGCCGCTGAGTGTGGACTTGCATTATTAACAAAGCAGGACACAAATTAGCTCTGGTCGAGGCTGAGAAATCTTACCATGACACCTCGTCTTCTAAAGAGCACGGTAACAAGAAACATTCCACTTTGCGTTGTCCACGTCCGACCTCTGAGACGGATGTACTTATGTGTTTCCTTAAACGTTGTTGTTTAATCTCTTGCTTTACATTATATCAGTACATCAGACCTTAAGTATTTGCGCAAGGAAGGAATAAATAACATGGAATACTTCTGTTTTTTATAATCCGAGAATTCTACTTTTGTGTTTTTGTTTTGTGTTGTATTTGTGTTGTTGATTAAAGGAGTAGTATGTAGAAATCTGGCCAAAAGTGGTACTGCACTCTCCCTGACTCAGGTTGCCAGGTATGCAGACGAATCCAGCTGGGACCATAAAATCTGAATAAAGAAATCCTGGTTTTATTCCTTATTTTGTTGTTATTGATTTGAGAATCATAACGAGACCTTTTTTTAGTTCTACGGCCACATGTTACTTTACCAGTGAGATTAGCTTGACGCAGTGAGTTCTGGCAACCCGGATAACGGACTTTCTGATTGGATTTAGGGGCTGTAAAACGAATTTTGAAATCCAAATATCTCGTCTAAACTATTGTTAACAGTTAAAGAAGTATTCAAAAAGAGCATAATTTATGATTGCCTTTTGACAGATTAGGGCCATGTAAAGATGACTTTTGACTTACTTATTGCTGCTTTAATGTTGTCTGTTTTTGGTCTGTTTTGTTGTCTTTAATAAAAAATTAACCAAATGTTTTTGTAGATCATTATTGATAGATTAGATTCACAAACCCGCAATAGTTTTCTTAAATCGGAAGTGTCTTTGTCTTTTTCACTTCTTCTCTACCATTCTTTCGTACAAAAAAGGTCTGACCAAAAATAAAAACAACTTAACACAGTTTTGTTACCAGCACAGATTTCTCAGCTGCCGTCACCACAGTTTGAAACTACAGGAATGTGGTGATGTCACATAAACGCCACTATTAGAAAGACGCACGCAGTGACATGATCCAACTGTCCCCAGAGACTGCAGTAGTATTATTTTGTGTAGCATCAATTAAAACGCACAATGTTTGTTTACCTGAGATTCTCTGAGCTGAACTCCGACTCCAAGAATTTGAGAAACTGCTCCCTCCCGATGGGATCCTTCAGCACTTCATCGATACCAAAGGCCCATCGCTTTACCCTCTGCTGTCCTGGCTCCTTACTACCAACACACAACACGCCAACGGCAGGGATTCAATACAAGCATTGTGTGTATGAATCTAAAGACTTATAATGTGTTGTATTGTGTTGTCTTCTTGTCTTTGTGTTATGTTTGCTCTGTTTGGGATTGTACTTTTGTGTCTTTGTTTTATGTGTGTATATTGTGTGTTCCCTGGATTCTCCCATAGTGTGTGTATGAATCTAACGACTTGTATTGTGTGTTACCTGGCTTCTAACTCCCATGGTGTGTGTAAAAGGACTTGTATTGTGTGTTACCTGGCTTCTAACTCCCATAGTGTGTGTATAAGGACTTGTATTGTGTGTTACCTGGCTTCTAACTCCCATGGTGTGTTTGTAAGGACTTGTATTGTGTGTTACCTGGCTTCTAACTCCCATGGTGTGTTTGTAAGGACTTGTATTGTGTGTTACCTGGCTTCTAACTCCCATGGTGTGTGTATAAGGACTTGTACTGTATTTTCTTCTGTGTGTGCTTTATATTTTTCATGTGTTTTAACTGTTGATTCTCTGAGATGACTTCTGTTGTGACCTAGGGCTATACAAGAATAAATTGTATTGTATTGTATTGTATTGTGTGTTACCTGGCTTCTAACTCCCATGGTGGACTTGTATTGTGTGTTACCTGGCTCTTAGCTCCCATGGTGTGTGTATAAATATTTGTATTGTGTGTTACCTGGCTTCTAACTCCCATGGTGTGTGTATAAGGACTTGTATTGTGTGTTACCTGGCCTCTAACTCCCATGGTGTGTGTATAAGGACTTGTATTGTGTGTTACCTGGCTTCTAACTCCCATGGTGTGTGTATAAGGACTTGTATTGTGTGTTACCTGGCCTCTAACTCCCATGGTGTGTGTATAAAGATTTGTATTGTGTGTTACCTGGCTTCTAACTCCCATGGTGTGTGTATAAGGACTTGTATTGTGTGTTACCTGGCCTCTAACTCCCATGGTGTGTGTATAAGGACTTGTATTGTGTGTTACCTGGCTTCTAACTCCCATGGTGTGTGTATAAGGACTTGTATTGTGTGTTACCTGGCCTCTAACTCCCATGGTGTGTGTATAAAGATTTGTATTGTGTGTTACCTGGCTTCCAGCTCCCATAGTGTGGTGTCGTCTGTGATCCAGGGGTTGGACGGATCAGGAGGCGTGAGGAACGGGTCATATTCAAGGTACTGCTCTGTGTAGCCAATTAAACTGGATTTAGGAGGAGAGAAAGGCAGTTAGAGGTGACATTATCCTAAAGCATCGAAAAGAACACCGCTATGTTCTATTTTCTCACTTTTATGCGTTACATGTTTGACATCGTTTTGTTTTAATAACTTAACCCCGTTAATACCAGCTGGCAATGTAGAGACTAGAGTGGCTATTTTAGTATGTTTTCAGCAAAATAGCAAACACCTAATTAAAAATAATGGCTGAGGCAAGGTGAGGCTATTCTGACTGTGAATATATTTCTGAGCCAATGACGCAGAAAGAGCAGAAGAGGACACACACATTATTATATAGTCAACCTAATAGTGACTTAAAGTTGAATAACACATGTTTTATCCCAACAAAACTAGTCTAAATAAAAAGTCTGTGAAATAATTATACCACAACATCCTGTCCTCATTCTATAAGAAAACTGTATCCTTTGCATAGTTGGAAGAAAGAGTCCTGTGAAGCACTTTTTTAGGCTGGGAGCTGATTGGCTACGTGGGGGTGGTCCACTACTTTCCCCTTTTCTGTCTGATAAAGCAGATCTAAAAATGGGACGGATGTAAAAAAAAAAAAAAAAAAAGCATGGATGTGAACATGGTTTGAAAGTTACGCACCCTGGCTTTAACCCTTTAATGATTTCCTCAACCGTTTGGTAGATCACTTTTTGAGTCACTAAATCTACTTGAAGCTTGGAAGTAAAATCTACCTCACTGGGGCATCTCTTTCACTTGGTTTTAGGAACTTTTACCATCAAACTTCATCTCAACCATTTGGTAAAGGACTATAATAAAAAACTATGGGTTATAAAAACAGAAAAACACATTATTTGTGTTATTAGTCTTAGAAAAATGTAATTGCTTTCATTACAGAGAATATTAAAGGGTTAAACTAAGCTATGCAGTAATTGATTTAGATACAGCCTTGTGGGCCTGGATATGGCATTCCAATAACAAATTACTATTTTTATTATTTATGCATGCCTTTGATTTTTATTCTGCTTGAACTTGTTTGTACCGAGAGCCAAAGCAATTTCCTAGTTTGAGACTTCCTTTTACTCACATGGCAATAAAAGAATTCTGATTCCGATTCCGACTGTAAAGGCCTTTTACTCGCTGAAATGAAAACATGCCAATATGTCTGGACTTTAGCCAGTTTCAGTTTCAAATGTCAATCTTGACGAACCTCGACAATGTTGAATAAAAACGCATGCCTTTACATTTGTTCATGGATCAACCTAAAAATAACTGGGAGCTTTAACGCTGTGTTGGGTGAAAGAAGTCCACTGTATCTCTCCATCTGCACGGAGCTGAATAGAGAGTTTCTAAGGGATTGATTCTGTGGACACAAACGGGACAAGCTTGCTCTGAATGTCCCCATCAGCGGAGCAGAATAGCAGCGTGTGTATCGGCCTGTCTGGGTCCTGACTCCACTAAAGGCATTGTGTGAGGCCTGCGTCTCCTGAAGGTCATGTGATCTCTTCGTTCGCCACACATCGGCCCGTTTAAAGGCTCAATACGCAGATCGATGGTCAATTCAAACACAGACTGCTCACCTCTCCGCCACTTTGGACATTTTCAGTCGATGCCGGTCTAATTGCAATTGCCAAAAGGTTATCTGGAAGGATCAAAACGAAAAGAAAACATTAGGTCGACAGAAATATTTAGCTAAACTATGCTAAATTGACGAAAGCATCATCTACACTGCAAAAAATATGAAAGATGAGGTAATAAGTGCTTGAATCAAGTGTTTTTTATTGTATTTAAAACAAGATTCTCATTCCAAGTGAGACATTTCTTGTATATTTTTAAAACAAGATAATTTTGCTTTGTCTAATTGGCAAGTATTGTTTTCAGGCAGTCAGAATCTGCTAAAATTAAGACATTTTTTGCCAAATTTCAGATTTGTTTTACTTGTTTTGCATCACTTTTTGCAAATAAGGCAGTTGTATGCAGAGGCCCAGATAGGAGCATCACAGCAATAGTAAAAACCTAGACTACAATGATGTGCCAGGACTTTGCACAATCTTTTTTTTGTATTTTTTGGTGAGAAAATCTATAAAATTCAAACATCAAACTCTGGTTGAAAACTGGAAATATAAAAGATAAACAGACATGTATCCCTCCTACTTACATTACTGATATAATGAGTCAAATAAAACATGAACCTTTTTGAATGAACTCAGCTATCACCAAAATACAGTCCAAACATGTTTAAAAAGTGAATAGTGATTTTAGATGCTTGGTTTGGCCTGGAGCTTTTTGTTTTAGTGCAGATCCCCAAATCTCATTTCCTCTGACATTTGCCTGCCGCTTGTTAAACCCAAAAGTGGTAATTCTACAGTCAAATAGATCCTATCCCAGACACCAGCTATACCCTCCTTTATTTAAGCGGACTCTGAAATTTGCACTTGCTCCTCTGTGTAGAGATTATTCCCATTAATAATTAGAGTCAATGAGTCATCAGAGGCCAAAACTACAGAGCCTCATCTTTACAGTCAAGGCATTCGTCTGTGCTCCAAAGGGTTCTCAGGCAGATTCAGTGATATGTTTAACAACATGTTGAGCCAAAAATATTGTAGGTTGTTACTTTGAGGCGTGTTTGAGTTCCTTTGTATTATGAAAAAGGGTTTTTCATAATAAAAAGGAATTCAAAAACAAGTTTGAGGTCTTGGATGAAGGGCCTTTTCTATACAGCAACCTGGCTTCCCACAAACATTTCTCTCTTTTTTTGTAAGTTGGCACCTAAAGCATTGATACTTTAGTAAATAGTAATTCCAGGTATATGTATTGCTGTTTGATGTATTAAGGATGCTGACCTATGATCTTAGGCAAGGCAGGTTTATTTGTATTGCACAATTCAAACACAAGGCAACTCAATGTGCTGAACTTTGCAGCTAAAATCTGGAACAGTCTTCCTGAAAATGTGAGACAGGCCTCTTCACTGACAATGTTTAAATCCAGGTTAAAAACAGTTCTGTTTTGCTGTGCCTCTTTGCAATGCACTGCAGATTATTCATTTTTTAATGCCTCCCAACGCACTGTATATATATGTTCTAAGTGTGACATCTGTGCTCTGGTGCGCCCCCTGGTGGTCTGACCTGTTCCTGCAGCTCCTCCTCTGTGGGCTGCTTGGCCTCGGGGGCGGGGGTGTGGGTGGGGCTGTGGGTGCGGATGTCGTTCTGCAGCCCGTACACTGACTGCACACACAACATCAAAGGCACAAAATGACTGTGAGGCGCACTTACTCCACGCGCCATCAAACGTGCGCCGCCAACAAAGGCCTCTTCTTTTACTGTGCGACGCGCCGCCATCAAACCACACATTACCGAGGGAAAGTGACACCTACCTTTCTGGTTTTGTGAGGGTTTTTCATTCTGGAGGACTTCTTAATGTCGACTTCTGTTGTGTTGACACATCCGGGCTGAGAGAGAGGAGAGACAGCAGAAAACCATGTGAGCAGATGGACTTGGAGTTTGGATTGTGTCTTCAGCTTTCTTTACCTATTGTGTATTATTGTTCAAGGTTTTTATTGTTTATGTTAGCTGCTTAAATTGCATTTCATTTTATAAAAGAATGCATATTGTGTTCTTAATGTAAATGTTGTAAATTTCTCCTATGTGAGATAAATAAAGCACATCTTATCTTATCTGCCCAGCGGCTGCACCACCCCATTTAAAGTATATATCATTCTTCTTTATCTATTAAATTCATTTCATTGCAATTCAATCTATTATTGTATACCCCTAAATCCCAATCGTCTCAAAGGACTTGAAAAGTGGTCGATTCCTCGAAGACAGATCTAAGAATCAAACAGTTCAAACACAGGAAAATGGTGCGATGTACATAAGAACTATTATTATTATTATTATTATTATTATTATTGGCCCATCGTAGTAATCTAGTTTTAGATTTATATATAATCTGTATTTATAGAGTGTATTTTACAGACCAAAGCCACACAAGCGGGATGACCAATGTTCATAAATGTTAAAAGAATATTGGACACTTTACTGTTGTTTACAGCGTGTAGCTTTCAACAACAACATATTCAAAACAGTCCCTTCCCTTGGCTTCACTACAGCGGGGAACACAGAATTTGCACTATTTACTTTAAGGAATGAACCTTCGTGACCGGCGAAAATTGGACTTTAAAAAATAATGCAAATATGGTTGGAACTTGGAACAGCTGAAGAAGTAAATTCCTTCCATATCATTGGTGGTGCTTGCAGAGTACATCGCATTATTTTTACTACTTGCAATAGTTGTGGTAGACCAGTAATTCTAGTGACAGAGCAACCATAATTGTTGTTCTGAATCAAAAAACAAATATTACTGCCAATGAATTAGAAAGCCTTGTGTGTATTCTACTCTAAATATAATTTGGCGTGGCTGTTTTACTTGCTTAGGCATTCTTGTTGGGCATGATTACACGTTAGCGCTGTCACAACTACTAAATATCAGATATCCAAGGATTAGTGTTGAAACTAGATTCTTATTTTAGCTATCAATAATACAAATGCACATATACATACAATTGTACATTTCATGACAACATAACAAATACATTTTTTGCTCCGTTGAGAAAACTCAATACAGCAAAACCACAACACAAATATTGACTTCTATCAAGATGCAAGAATGTTTTGCCAATTGCAGTAAAACCACATTGGAAAAACTGTGCAAGACTCCACCAGTGTGCACCAGACAGAGAAGACTGCACACACCAGAGCTCTTGCACAAAAATATCTACTTTTACTTGTTTTGGTATGGTACAATTGTATGTGTATGTGTATTTGTATTATTGATAGTATCTACTGTAATGTATATATCCTCAACATTTAATATGACCTTCAGGATGATATCAAAGAATGTGTATGTCTGTTTTGGACAATAAGCCTTACTTTTTGGGTATATTTGATGAAACACAACCTGCTGGTTATAATAAATGTTGAGGAAACACATTACATAATACATATATTTCTTGCTCCACATGGAAAACTCAATGCAAGAAAACCACAACACACAAATATTGACTTCTATCAAAACTCACACTTGGCACAAAAATATCTGCAATACCTCTAAATTGACTCACAATCTCTCAACCATCTCACTGAACATCTTGTCACCAGCGCATAGTTTGGATCCTGCCAGTCCTCGCGCACTACGCCTCATATAGTCTGTGTGTCATATTCTGCCTAATTAAACCTGGAATGCGCCAATTCTCGCAAAACAACCAAAAGCAGCGGGATCTCCGTCGGTGCCGTGGCTGCGTGTGAAATGCCTCTGATTGAACAAGTGGTCCAATCTAGGCCCCGGTCCCTGAGTGCGGCGCTAAGTAGCTTCAGCGCGTCACCGTGAAATTTGAATTAATATTGATTATGTAGCTCCAAGGACGCATAAATTGAACTTGTTATTTCCCAATTAAGCACGGTACGACTGCCTTACGGATATGCAAAGAGAAGGGGGGGTGGATGCAATTGCGGGGAGGTATAGAGGACCGGTGATTGTGATGTGTTGGGACAGATATCGATGTGGCATTTCTCCAGTGCGCTGTCAGATCGCCTCTGTATGCTAGTCTTACGCACAAACCGGCGGACCTACTTAACACTGTCATGATCTAAAGAGCTTTTTTATTCCCCTAGGTAGCATTTGGCAGCGCGGTCATGGCTAAAGCACTGTCCTAAAGAGCAGGAAATATTATGCTAAGGGTAATTTCTCTCACCACTGGTCTGTGCACGTCCCAGAAAGCTCGCTCCTGGCTGTCGAGAATCTTACGCTCGATTTTGTCTCTTTTCTTGTCCACCCTAGAAAAAAGAAAAACAAGTGTGTTAACACAAGGACTCCCAGAAGAATGAAACTGCTAGAATTCCCAGTGGACGTTAGTGAGTTTACCATTGGTTTTATTCAAATTTACCTTGATGAAATTGATGAAACAAGTGAGTATAACTTGATATGCAGGAGAAACAGGAAAAACAGTTTGTTGAAAGGCTAATGCTAACTGGTAGTAAGTTACTCACTTACTTACTTAGGAGTAAGGTACTCCTACTACTAGCTGTAAGGGCCTGTCTACAGAGAAGAGGCTTGACACGCGAGATTATTGCTCTAAAGTTCAGGGGAATAATGGGTTAAGGCCCGACAGTGTGTGGTTGGTCTGGATTTCAGAGTTCACTGGTCGCTTGCAATAAGTACTGTGTTTGGTAATCTGAGGGACAAAAAGAGAAAAAATAAAAATAAAAAATACTACTACCGCCTGCTCAGCTCTACTGCTCTATTCCATTTCTAAATTAAAACATAATTTCATGAAAAAATAATGACGTAAGGAAAAAAATGACAAAGAAGTAACCCCAAAAATGTCAGTTTTTGATGAACTGCGATATCTGCTGTCAATTTGTCATCATGGCTGCAGAATACCTTGTGATGCATACTTCCTTACTCACAGGATGTAATGTTTAAGGATCAGGACGCATTTTAAACTTGTCCAGTTTGAGATTAAAGCTGGGGTACCTCACGTTTATTTTCCCATGAATAATACATTTGATTTATTCCAACAGAAAGCATCTTGTGAAGGTCATGTTGTGGAGATCAGACTACAGGCTGTCTTCTTTATTGGAAAACATCTTATCTTTTGCATACACGAGCCCTGCGAGCTGCGGATTGGCTGAACCTCTCTTTTTCACTTTTCTGAAAAAGCTGATGAAGCTAAAAGTACATGTCATAACTTGTGATAGAACTGTTTTGAGAGCGAGAAACTCTTTACTATCTTTAGCTATTTTTGTGTGGTTTGAATGTTAGATAAGCCAGCTTTAATATTGTGAATAAAATTTTCTAAAAATGTTTTACTTTGTTTTTTTTGTTTTTTTTTAATGAACAGTCCTAAAGATTATTGTCACATTCAATAGACAAAGTACTGGAAATGTAAGAAACTGTTAACTATGTGTAATTATTTGACAAATAAAATAACAAAAAAGACAATATATATGTATCTATATAGGGTTTTTATTTTCTGTTTTTTTGGCTGTGTCTGTGTTGATTTGGACCTTGAGTCTGTAATACAGTTATCTATCTATCTATCTATCTGTCTATCTGTCTATCTGTCTATCTATCTATCTATCTGTCTATCTATCTATCTGTCTATCTGTCTATCTATCTATCTGTCTATCTGTCTATCTATCTGTCTATCTGTCTATCTGTCTATCTATCTATCTATCTGTCTATCTATCTATCTATCTGTCTATCTGTCTATCTATCTGTCTATCTGTCTATCTATCTGTCTATCTGTCTATCTATCTGTCTATCTATCTATCTATCTGTCTATCTATCTATCTGTCTATCTATATGTAGAATAAAGGGTAGGTGCTGATTCAAGATGGATAAATCTAATATTTGACTTTTGAGTTCTTTCTGAGCTTGTGCACCCTTTTGGAAAAGATAGAACAATATATTTAGAAAGTCCTGAGAAAACATCAATAGTCGTTTAAGTATTTACTAAACTGAGGGGAATTTGGCTTCAAAACATCTTTATCTGGCAGTAAAACAAAGCTCTATGTCTATTGTGCAATCTCCGAGATGTTGCTCCCACTGGGAATAGCGTTGGGCCCTTAAGTAAGGCGTTTTATCCACTGCCAGCGCCAAGCCATTAGCAGCCAACCAGACTCTTTTACACGTTTGGACTTAAGAGCCGGTAAATGCTGCACGTTATAGACTTTTTCCGTGGCTTGTGAGGAACCTACTTTGCTTGTGCTTCTGCTTGCATAAAAATGAACTCCCATTTCCTGGCGAAGGCTCTCTGTAGCCTGGCTAAGCTCTCCTGAAACAGAAAAGAGCAGACATGAGTGAGATTTGGCCTCAGATAGCATTGTTACTGATACAAACCCGACCATAACCAACAAACTGATTGCTTTTGTGGAAGAATTTTCATTGTTGTTGAGTTGATAAAGAATGTCATTGTTTTCGAGAGGCCTCAGGAGGTCATATGGACGAGGTTCAAAGGCAAGAGTTAGAGATGTCGAGATTGTCTGCTTGGTTGTGAATATCCAAGGTTGCAGAATCATTGAGCAATAAAAGAGTAAATAAAGGGAAAGAGGCGTTTGATGAATGCTTTTTATCTGAGAGTTCAATTCTCTTGATTGATTTTGTAAAGCTGAATAAAAGAAACATAAGTAATCACGGACCAGAACTATTGTTTTAGTTGAGTTCTAAAACCAAGATGAGATTTAAATTCATTGAATACTTGTAAACTGACAGAAGCAAACATTTAAGTTGTACAAGGAGAAATCATATGCAAAATCGACCTTTTGGAGACCTGGTATTGTTTTTAGATCCATCCATGCTCCTGTCTCAGTCCTGTAACAGTATCATGACACTATGACTGTAAGACATCAGACTCAGAGCCGTTTTCTGTCTTTTAAGAACATAAGTATTACTCATAATTTAATGAGTTTTGATAATGTCTCATAGAAATGGATGTCCTTTCCAATCACATGGTGGTTTTTGCAGCTTTTTTCCCTCTGGTGGTAGCGTGAGGAGTTACAGGCCGATATAATTGTTTACCCTTCATACTTGTTTCACTGTATTATAGCTACTGTATTATTTCTAAAACAGAACATTGTGAAGTGAAAAGTCTCAGTATCATATTTCTTATTTAAATTAAACTGTGCATACATGGCAACATTACATTAAAGCAATATTTATTTTAGCTGTAGGGCCCCTTTAACTTGACAGTGCTGCTTCTCTAGAGGTCGAGAGGTGGGAATGTGGATGAATTATCTCTCCATTGTCAACAATCCTCCCTCGTAGGAAATGTTTTATGGCTATAGATAGATAGATATTTAGGGCAAACATCACAAATAGATAATCAAAGAGAAAAAAAAAAAACACGCGCCATCTGTTTAAGGCCCAATTCTTTGTCCAAAACAGTGAGTTTAGAGAGAACCCCTCTGCTTCAAACCCACTTGTCTGTCTCTCTATTTAATTTCACACCCCGATAATGAAGATTGAGAAATTGCTATTTTTCAATCACAGCCATCTGTCCCGGTGTCAATAATTGTAAACATTTGAATATTTGTGACAATCACATTGAATACACTCTTAACCTTCAGCCAAATCACCAGTCTATTAGTACTTAAACATAAAAGATAGAATAGGAACTTTAAATGAATCATAAACATGTAAAAAATAACCGCATACGGCCCTTTAACAGAATCACATCAATCACAAAACTTACGCCCGAGAGTCCCACACTTACCGCTTCGTAGTCGGCGAGCTCCAGGCGTGCTTTGTTTTGCATTGTTCTTTTGCAGAGGTAAACAGCTGTAAATATGGGCAGAGACAGAGGGTAAGTCCATTTAGAGTAGGTTTTTTTTTTACAGACACACACATCTCTACTTTTATTCATTTAATCCTCTAAGCAGGGCACAGACAGGTCACACCAGGCCTCACAAAAACCCCCGTCTCAAAATCATTCCCTCATCCTACACCGGCTGACCATTAACGCAGGCCATCATTAAGTTTTTATATTGTTTTTATTCAACGTTTGTGTAAATTGGTTGTTGTCGGGTTAGCTTTCCCATGCTGCTCTCGGGTAATCCCACCGTGAGCCTTTTTACTATACTCCGCACAACAAATAAAAAGAAGCGCACACATCTGACAGACAAGGCCGTTTTTTTTTTTTAGCTTTATGAAATCTTTATCTGCTGCTGCTGCCGGCGGAGGACAAAGCATGCACGGCAACGAGAAACGCAACAACAATACACACACACACTACACACTGTTCATTTGTGCGATCGCATCAGGACATGGGGCATATGTTGAATTACAAGAGAGAGAAGCTACTGGAATACAACAGCGCGGGGCCGGCGTGGACGGAAATGCATCTTTGCACGAGACAGAAAGTAGATTACGATGTGTGTTTAGTGTTTATTTTGGGGGGTTTGCACATACAAATCCAACCCTTAAAATACATTTTCTATTCCTATCACACTAAGTTCATTATGTTTTTCTGAATCACTGAATTCCCAATAATATTGTTTCCCATGCATTGTGTGTGGTTGGCTGTAGGACAGTAATATTTAACAGATTATTTTGATAAATCTATTAGTTGGCTGATTATTCTTCCTGAAGAGTGTAAAGAAGCTCGTGCTGCTCATTTATCTGACATGATACAACTAAAACATCAGGTATTTAAGCAGTACCAGCGTCTTTACACTCTTCGTCTTATTAAAAGAACCTTAACTACTTTAAGTCGACTACAAAACCATCAATCATCAACTAATTGTTATAATTCTGTATTTATTGTTTTCCATCATTCCCCAATGATGTAGTGTGTAGAGGTGTAATATTTATGTTATGGACAGGTCATGCTGCAGGAAATGCTGGAAGCGCCTTGGGACCCCAGGAGCTCCACGGCCCCATGACCCCCCAGTCTGAACTCATCTCTCTGTGTCCATGAAAATGTTGATCATACACATGTTTCTTCATTCACCAAACTGTGTGAGGCTGCTCCCAACTCTCAAATCAAACGTGAAGAGTCATTACTAACAAACCACAAGGACAACAGCTCTCTATCATGGACATAATTATCTTTGCAAAACAACACATTATTGCTATATTTCTCATTAAAACCCATCTTTGTTTGCACAAAGAGCCAAAACAATGTCCTGTGACTTCCTGTACCTTACATGTTAATACAAATTATTCTGATTCTGAAATTCACTAGCTTCTTGGATTAACCAGTCTTTTGCAAAAATGAAAACATGAACTGCAAAACAAACGGCAATTCTTTTCACCATTGGATAAGATTCAAGAATCCTTCAACTCTATAACTGTGTATTGGACCTCATGTTCTGGTGTAAATATTTACCTTCTACTGATTCTGTAAGTCTCCAAAAGCAATCTCCAAAACACACATACTACATTTAAATACATGAAGCATATTGTTCTGATAAATAACACCGCCAGCACTATCATTTCTGTGAAGATTTCTGCTGACGGCACCTGAGAGGAGCTGTCAGCACGGGCCAAACGGAGTCTCCTCTGGGAAAACACCCTTTGATTTCATTGTATTAGCAGCTCTGAGCCAAAAACCCTGTCTGGATAACCGCCAATTCCACCGTCTATGAGCTCCTCAGCCTCACATTACTCCACAGACAGCGGAGTGACCCACATGGCGCTCTTCTCTGACCAGGTAAATGGACCTGAAGAAGAAGTGAAGAATCTGCGTTCAGAGGTTACATTAAGGTCTATTTTAAAGGAAGAGTTTTCTTGCATGTGGATGTCAGTGGTGATTTGTATGTGGCTTTGTTGTGGTAATGGAGACATGGAGTGCAGAGCATGGGGGAGTTCTCACAGGACTGAAAAAGATTATCAAAAAGGGCTCGAGACTGGAGTGACTCTTGAGTGTGAGGGTGTGTAGGAGTTTTAAAGAAGCGTAGCATGAGAGAGAGGAAGAGGGAGCTGGATGGAGGAAGAGTGGAGAGCTATAGAAAGCTCAGTGTTCCCTCAGGTCCACGGATGGAGAGGAAATACTTTGAAAACATTTAAATATATATACAGTAACTTGAGCTTTATTTTGATAATTGATTAATAAATTGATTATTCTTTATCAATGTGTTGTTTAAAATGTCATGATGATATTTAATCTAATTTTGAAGATAAAGGGGACGTAAAGCCACAGGAGGGCTAATCTTTTTTTTTTTAATTATCTAAAGCAATATATTTACATACAGAATGAGGACCAATGCCACGTGGTGCAGGACTCAGACTGTAGAACGAGGACAGGTGCGACGCAGGACTGAGGCAGCTTCCAGACGGGGAGGAGGTTACTGTATATTATCCAATTGCCTTTTGGGTTAGGGTTAGTAAAATCCATAATTTGGTTGTTTACCTGAGAATCAAAAATCTTTCAAATAACACATGGTATGTTTTACTAAGCTGCAAGTTGTTGATTCCCATTGTTTTTCTAAATTTCACACAACACACAGATATTTCGATCGCGAGATAAAATATTGCAACATCATTCATTTGACTCCCCCCTGTAGTGTGTGGTGTGTGCCGTTGGTGCACACTAGGGTAGTCTTGCACAGTTTTTCCAATGTGGTTTTACTGCAAATGGCAAATAAATGAATCTGAATCTCTGATCTGAATTGTATAAGGTTAAGGTTGCCTCACAAGTTCCAGAACGATATAGAGTGAGGAGCACACAGCATAAGATAAAGTATATGTCATTCTTAAGTATATCATAACTCAAACTTTAAAACATGCAATAAAATGTATATTATTTAGCTTAATAAAGAAACAAAATATAAACATAATACATATAAACGTGTATGAGCTAGTGCAAAGATACTTGTATGATAATATATTGGAATATATGGAAGGAACTGTATAGAAATTTAGTTATACACTTTCTGGTTATATAATTTACTTTGGGTTTACATTTGAGTTATCTGGTTTTCACAATAGACGAGTACTCACCGGGGCCTCCTGTGCTAATGCATGCTAACAAGTCAGGGCCACCTAAATGTAGTGAGCAGCCTGGTGATTAAATCTGTGATGCCTGTGCTTGTAATGGGAGGATTAAACAGCTGCAAATGTCAAGAAATAAAAACAATGATGGCGTTGAAATAGAGGTGAAGCTAAACTCCCAAAGAATCTATATTGATAAAGAGTGCCTTAAATATGTCTGAACTAAACATGTGCACTATTAACTTTTAGAATGATGTGGTTATCAATGTTTGTATGAATTTCTCCTATTCTAACCCCGTCTATTTATCTACTTATCTGTCTGCCTGTCTGTCTATCTCTCTGTCTGTCTGTCTGCCTGCCTCTCTATTTATCTATCTATCCGTCTGCATGTCTTTCTGTCTCACTGTCTGTCTATCTATCCATCTGTCTGTCTGTCTGTCTGCCTGTCTATCTATCTATCTCTTTCCATCTATATGTCTGTCTGTCTGTCTGTCTGTAAGTCTGTCCATCCGTCTGTCCGTCTATCTATCTATCGGTATGTATGTCTGTCTGTCTGTCTTTCTGCCTATCTATCTATCTCTTGTAGGGGTTATTGAGGTCGATATCACACATAACTTAAGTTATTTATTTGATATTGGAGAAATGGATCAAAAACAATCATGTAGTAAATACAATAATTTATAATGGCTATATTTCGGCGCACAAGTGATTAAATCACAACTGATAACGTGCATATGACGTCATGTTATCTATTACAGTTTTTCTCAGTCGCTTTGGTGCATTTCTCACATCATTCTTCACATTTGCAAAACTGTTGGTGCATTTCTCAGAACAATTAGTTCAAACTGCAAAACCTTGTGGATAACCTGCAAAAGTGCGTCAATTTCACAAAATTAAAAGTGAATTCCTCAAAAGCAAGTCTTCATGTCAATGAAAATGGAGCTTTCGCGAAAGTTCACTGTGGTAGACCCGGCTGCTGCTTGCCCAGATCTACAGGCTGCTCTTCCTCGGCTCATCAGACCAGCAACGCCCACATCCAGCCAACCAATAACCACCAGGACAGCAAGTTAAAAGCCGGAGACTCCCACTTCCCGGCCTTCTGAAGTCTGCAAGGTGCATGTCGCTAACGCACCTGTTCGCAAATGCATGCGTTGTTCTGGAGGGGTCGCTTGTGCTCACGTGTTGCTCGTGCGCGTGGCCCGGCTGTCCTCAGTCTGGCTGCTCGTGGTCTGCTCCTCCTCCGCGTCCCTGCACCTGCTGTGGTTCGCGTGTCTCCACTGCTCTCCTCCTCTGCGGGCTGCTCCGCGGGTTCTGTGCTGCTCGTTCCTCGTGGTCTGCTGCTGCGCGCAGACGGTCTGGCGGTGCCGTGCGTGTCCCTGCCTCCGATTGGCGGTGCCGCGTTGTCCCGTTGCTTTTCCCAAGTCTCCTGGCATGTGAGTACAGTGAGTGTGCCGACCGCGGACGGATTAATCCCGGAGTCTAGGCTGCAGGCGGCTGGTTTTCGCCCTGCGCACTTGACTGCAGGCGTCAGTTTTTCGCCCCGTGCTTGGTCTGCAGGCTCCGTTTTCACACGTGTTTGAGCTAACTGAGGGGCAATGCATCTTAAATGGCATCAATCTCTATTGTCTGAGGGATATAAGAGGAGCAATGTGCATTAATTCAGATTCATGTTCTGCCACTTGCAGTAAAACCACGTTGGAAAAATGTGCAAAGACTACCCCATCGTGATCCAGACGGCACACACAGAGCTCTTGCCACGGCGCCATCTTTACAGCATTAATCTCATTACTCGCAGGTCACTATTGTTAAATGAATGTATTTAAA